GGGAAAGACAGTCCGTTTAACATCAGCTTTGAAGAAGTGGACCAGGACATCACCCAAAGCGATTTGGAGACTGGTCCGCCCGTTAGTAACAGTCACGGTACCGTTCATGAGAAAATGTGTTCGTCTCCCAAGTACATAGTATTTGAGGAAGAACTGCTTAATTTATTTGGCCGCTGTCTTGAATGTGGTGACGAGGTCCTGGAAAAGGAGCTATTGGAAAAGGGAGGTGCACTTAAAGTAACGACACTTTGTAAAAACTCCCATTCGAAGGAGTGGGTTTCCCAGCCACTTGTTAACAGGGCGGCCGCGGGAAACGTATTGCTTTCAGGTGCTATACTTTTTACAGGAAATACGTTTTCGCGTGTTTCAGAAGTTGCCTCCGCAATAAATCTTGCCTTTCTGAGCAAATCGGATTATCACAACTGGCAGAAGAAGTACCTTTTCCCGGTTATAAATGATCGTTGGCAGCAGGAAAAGGCGGCAGTCCTCACCGATCTCTTAGACAGGAAACTCAGTCACTCTCCTCGGGGATGGACGTTGTGACTCCCCAGGCTATACTGCCAAATACGGAACTTACACCATGATGGACAAAGAGAGTGAGAAAATTGTCGTTTTCGAAGTTTGCCATGTAAAGCAGAGTACAAGTTCACAGGCAATGGAGAAACATGGTTTAATCTTTGTCTTGACCGAGCACTAAATAAGGGCATTCCTGTAGGTGTTGTAGGTACTGACAAGCACACCGGTATCAAGGCACTCATGAGAAGCGAGTACTAAGACCTCGGGGTTGAGCATCGGGTAGACGTGTGGCATTTGACTAAGAACACCACGGAAGCCAAGAAGAAAGAATGCAAGGACCTCTCTCCTTGGATAAAATCCGTGACAAACCATATGCGGTGGTCTGCGATGACGTGTGACGGAAGTCCCCAGCTTCTCAAAGAGAAGTGGGTCAGCATCCTCCACCACACGGCTGACAAACACGATTGGGATTCGTCTGTGCTGTACAATTGTTGTGCACATGATCCCATTTCCCCAAGGGCACATCGTAAAACAAAATGGCTGATTGAAGGGGACCTTCTCGCACGGCATGTATTCAGATTTGGAAAAAATTAAGCAAGTGAAAAAATGCTACCAGCCCAAAATGCCACTAGCATTTACAGTGTTAGTTTTCTATTTTTGGAACAGACTGTTAAAGATATTTTAATGATTGGAACTGGAGCCGATACCCCTATAGCGCCATAGATAGACTATGGACCTCCTTGAATATTTAATAAAAACAAAGACAAGTTTATTGATTAAACATGACTATCCTGGCCATGAGTCATTGTCCTCAGCATCTTTAAAGCCTGTATAATTTCCGGCTACATCTGGGTAATAACTTCTTATTGATGCCACAACACACGAAGGAATCACGCGTCTGTTCCCTTTACCAAGTCTGTTACAAGTCCACCATGTAAAAGTATAAGTAAACTGTCTCTAACCTGCCAATCGCATACTACTGGGAAAAAGCAAAATTAATTGATACATGCTCGGAACTGAACAAACCAATCTCTTGGAGCAAACCCTTTCTTTGTATTCAAAATTATATCCTATTGTGACCGATCCAAGTTCAAACATGCTAAAAAAAGGTTGAAGGTTAAAGTTTCTTCTTTAACAATCAACTATTCTCTTCAACAATCAATGAAGCCTTCGTTCGAATATTCAAGTTTTGCCGGGCATATCGCTTAAATGTTGCATATGATTTAAAAGAAAGACTCGAATGTTGAAAATAAACCTGGAATTTTGGCGAAGATTTAATCACATACATTACTACTCATATTAGAACAACTTACCAGATGAACTTTTAAATGGAGGAATGACTTGTGCACTTTTCTTTCATTTATAACCGCAGATCATTTCTAAGCGTAGTGCAGAATTGGAGACATAAGTAGAAAAGAGTACAATAGTTTACCCGATAGGGAGAAGGTTGGTGGGGAATCCACCCAGGGGAGTCCGGGGTGAGAAAATTGCTCGATGTATGGCCTCACATGGAAACATTACCATCTTAAATGGGTTGGGTTGCTTCACTATGTCTGGGCTACAATGAATGATTTTGCGTGACTCCGTCCAAATTAACAGGGCTAAGCTCGCAAGTGAAAGTTATACAGTCCCAAGTCAGAGGTTTCGTATGTGTCGCATTTTCGTTGAAAACACTATCGTTTATTTTTGCTCTTCTGATTCTTTTCAAAATTCTAATAAATTATGTAAGAATCTTTTGGGTCTTTAAGCCCTTGTACTTAACAGAGCTGTGAAAGAGAAGGCCTATTATCGTCCTACTCAGGTAGGGTACTAAAGATTATTTCTCCCCTGAGCTTGGATCAGGGATACAAGATTTCATCAGCAACTTTATGACTGAGGATCTATCAGGTAAAACCGAAAACTTTTCGGAAGTGGGACGATGCTGAAGGTTCACTATTTCCCTTGTTTGTCAGATAAGTTGCAGGGGTAAATTTCATTTCTGACGTAATAGCAAAGCAGGAGGAAAATATAAATATTAAAAAAGTTAGAAAAGGAAAACTGCTGAGAACTGTTTTAAGACATGCTCAGAACAATCACAGAACATAAAAATTTCTGCCAATATCGATGTAATCCCAGATAAACATGATCACTACTGAAAATTATTTAATTGGATATCGCTAAAGTTGCAAAGAAATTTTGTCAGTTTCAAGCTTTCGATCATAAAACAAATATGGCGATGCACGAAAATGAACTAAACGTATTTTTCTCTCCTTTTTTATTAAACCCATAACTTTGTGTCAAACCCATTCAAATATCAAAGCACATTACATTGCTTTCTATTTCGTTTCACTCGACTATGTAGAGAAGCTGATAAACAATAGTTGATGTAGTGTATTCCTTGTTTGTGTATGTTTCTAGCTTAAAAGTCCACTGGCCTGATCTTCATTTCAGCTCTCTTAGCGGATTATTTAGGACCCTTCCATGTATTTCAGTTGATACCACGCCAAGGGACCGAATTATGCAGACCGTGGTAATGGTAATCGTTTAAGTTGGCTCTAACACACGTATTGTACACCAAGCACTATTATATTTTGCGGCACAGTTGCTCGAGTAATCATCATTGTCACGATCTTTGGTGGAGAATGCCATGTTTCTATGATAGCTCAAAGAATCACCTGCAGTTCCTGAGACGGAATCACAGTATAATTAGCAAAGGAAGGCTATAGAAATTGCAGTGGATAGAAATTTATTCTTTCGGCATTTTTGTTAAATGATAAAATTACAATTATAGTTAATCTACAATATTGGTGTCTGAAAAAAGGAATGGAAATATTATATTATTTTAAGTCATTTAATGCAAATTATAAAAAAGGGCAGGTTGATTACTTCTTACTCCTTCTTGGTGGTCTTATCTTAAAGGTTGAGTTTGGTCACGTTCTTCTTGTGAGTTTGGCCACGTTCTACTGGTGAGTTTAATCACGTTTTCCTCGTTGTGATCGTGAGGTTGACATGGAACTCGTGATAAGCCATGTTCTTAATTAAGTTAATTTGTTAGTCCAGGAAGAGTAAATCTCCCTGGTAATAGGTCGTGTTCGACACCTTCGTGTCCCCAGAGGTAATTTAAGGTGTAAACAGGTGATACCCTTCATGTTTCGCAACCAAAAGCAATTTGGGGGCGGTACTTGTGAGCGCCTTTCTTCTTTAACTCATGCGACCAAGATGTTGTTATGTAACAATCTTTAAAGGTGATTTTCTCTTAAGATACCCTTTTAGGTATAAATAATACTCTGAACCAAGGTTATTTGTAATTTTTATATTATCGATCTCGTTTCTGTTCTGGCCGATCTCAACCGTAAAGATACGAAAATTAAGGTAGAAATTGATTTTGTAACTGCGTAAAAAATTCGAAGGTGCATACTCAGTATGTGGGAACTGTAATACGTAGTCAAGCGTGATTCGCTAGTTGATATGGTACGATGACGACACAAGAAGATTGACGGCTTAGAAATGTCATCCGCAGTGTCACCTTTATAAGCGGAGACTCTAGTTTTCCCTATCAGATAGAAGCTAGTCCCCGTTGTATCAATTTGTGAAGAAAGAGAATAAACCTACTAAACGACGAGTGTTAGAAAATTTACTTCTAACATTTTCCAGTCTCTGATGATGAGATGAATTGAGGTTCAGAATCGCTCGAATTTGGTTGTATCTTTAAGAACTATTCTGGCTAAAATAGACCAATCCACAGATTGAAAGCACTCACCGGTATATATCCCAAGGCGAAGTCTGTATTTGTTTCTTTCGCTGGAAACAGAGAACATATCATATTCAGCGTAAGCGGTCTTTCCTCTTGTGTCTTCGAGCTCCACTCGCAGTCTACTCTTTGTTTTAGTCAGGCGGTGCATCTTGTCCAGTCCGAGCCAAAACTCACCGTTTAAGTTTCCGAAGCCACGTTTGAAGTCCGCCCAGCCGCGATTGACGAAATCAACGGTGCCATCGAGTCTCTTCTGGAATACTGTCCAACCCCCACCCACAGATGTTTGGTCGCAAAACACATCAAACGCAGCTAAACCATCGGGGTCGATTGTGTAAAAACTGAGATTCTTTTGCCGGATTCGTAAAGCTCAGCACAGTTTTTCATAGCTTTTGAGAGACATCAACAACTATAGTTAGTATGATATATTTCAGCATGGATGAGTTGAAAGACGTATATGCAAAATTAACAGAAACTCACCTAGCGGAGTTGTTTTGTTCTCCGTCAAAGCATCGATTTTCTTCTCTAATTCTGCGAGTTGATTCTCTATTTTGAGAAGATGTACCTTGATTTCCTTATTTGCTGGTCCAGAATAATAATTTTTGAAGTGAACGTTGTGGCACTTGCTTGATGTCGAAGTATCGGGAGTATTTTTTGCTGTGTTGCTTTGACCCCTTGCTGTTTGAAAACTTAAGCTACAATAGAGCAGACAAAATGAAATCTTGACAAAAATCATTATCGACCAGGAAAGTACACTCTGAAGCTGCTATCGTAAAATCATACGCTCCAGTACCGGAGAATCTGATTTATACGCTTTCTTTTGTGAAGACGTCGCTTTACAAGGAACAAGATACTTTGTGTTTGGGTGACTGCGATAGTCAACTATATCCGCTGTTGCTTAAGGGTTAGTGGGTTAATTCCAGTTGGGCAAAATTACATAAGAATGATGGCTTTGTGTTTCACTCCAAAATATTTGCTCCTTCAAATGCTTTGCTACTACAAAATTTCCCCAGTTTTCGTGTATGAAATCAGTTCTAATACGCGGCAATTCTATGATCTTATGTTCGCAAAAGGAGTTAAAATTGTACAAAACAATTCACTACGCAGCTGCTATCTTAAAATCAAATTCTCCAAGATTAGAATCTGATTAATACGCTTTTGTGACTGCGTCAGTTAACAAGGAAGCAGATTTTTCGCGTAACTTGGGCGACTACTGGAGTCAAGCACATCCCCTTTAGCTGAACGCTTTATACCCTAACATCAATATGCATATTCTCCATATTGGTCTGTTCATTGCTTAAAGTGCTGACAAGGAGAATTTGTCTCACAATTAAGAGCTTCTTTAGTTGGTGATCATTTCCTTCAATCTTGTGACCTTGTGCGCTTCAGGGGTGATATTGTATGGAGAGTTAATTAGATGTTAGTCACTCTCAGGCCGGTTAAAGGATTTAAGGTAAGCGGGTTTATTTCTGGTTGAGTGAACTTATTCAAAATATTAGTTTTATACTTCACTCATTTCAAAATGTTTGATCCTTTAATGTTTTGCTTCTATACCTTTTCATCAGATTTGTGAATAACTGCAGTTTGATGCGCGGTGATGTCGACGTCACGCTGTCATGTTCGCAAAAGAAGTTGAACTGTTACAAGACTACTGTGAGAAGCGAGAGCATCTGTTTGTCTGTTTGTCTGAAAACCTACAACAAAATCCGCACCATTTGTCTATCTTCTTATAGAACCTATAATACTCGCTAACTTGTTAGAAGTGATGTCCTAACACTCGTTGTTCAGTTAACTGTTTCTTTATTCTCTCTTTTATTACGCAAGTTATTACAACGGGGACTAGCTCTGATCTCTCTAGGAAAGTGTGGGTCACCGCTTGTAAAGGTGACACTTACGGAGCTGTCAATCTCTAACCTTCGTCTTGCTTCTACACTTTACTAGCAAATCACCCCAAACTACGCAGAGCGGAGTTCGCATACTAAGTAGATACCTTTGCGATGTTCACGCTTTACAAAATGTCTTTCTAATTTAAATCTCTTGGACTTACGGTCAAGTTCGGCCAAAAAAAAACAAAATTGACAATATAAAATTATAATAAACTTACTAATAGAATTAAAATCATACTTGAAAAGATATCTTAAGAGAAATTAGTCCTTGAAGACTGTTGCACAACAGCAGAATAAACCCAAAATTCGGAGAAGAAAGCGCGTACCTAAGGTAACGCCCCTAAAAGAGCTACGTGCTAGCCTCATAAGTTATCTAATTACAAGTTCAGTGTGGAAGATGAAAAGTACTACTGTTTACACCTTAAGTCACCTCTAAGAAAAAGAGGTGTCGAACGTGCTAAATTAAAAGTTAAAAACTATTTTCCGGATCGGGAATTCGACATGGATTTAGCCTAAAAACGAGAGTATTAAATGGGTAAAAGTATAAAGGAGAGTTATTTTCAGGAAATTCCTGTACGGGATCAATTTTATAAGGTAGAGTCATTTTAGTAATTAATCATCTTTTAGTAACAAAATGGAAATAAACCGATATCTAGCCGCAAACCGCAGTTTACGCAAAAACATTTGTCTCCATGTCAAATTCACGATCATAGTAAGGAAAACGTAACCAAACTCCATCTGTAAGGTAAGACCGTCAAAAAGAATAAGAAACGATCAACTGGCTTATTACAATGTTTACTGAGTAGCTTATGCTATATTATTTCCATTTATTTTCAAGTTCAAATAAGTTAAAAATCACCCGTAATGAAAATTCTTGCTAGATACCAACTTTGTCTTTTTTAACAATACTCGTTAGTTTGGAGTAACTTATATGTTTTCTATAAAAGAATGCACAATTAAGAAAGGTCTAGAATGTATAGGGAGGTGAAGCGTTTTAAAAAAGGCAAGTACTATTTTGTACCATTACGAGAGGTACCAAGCCTCCTTTCAGCTCCCTCTCGACTTATGCATTCATCCCACTTGCTGCATACCTAACGCGAATGCCGGCTTAGGTTGAACACAGGACTTAATGAGTCACTAATAGACCACTTGAAGAAGTACGAGGGGTTTTTAGAGAGCTAAACTGCCTGTTCAAGACGAAAGAAACAAAACTCGTAAAATATTTTAGTTTTCTAGTGTCAAGAGATTATCTTCTCTTGTGTATTCTCTTGCCAGATTCTAAAGATCGTATCTTGTCATATTTCCTTTTCGCTGTAAGACCTAATATAAGTTGAACTGTTCTGATCTTCTCAACAGGACAGAAATATTGCTAGAATTTTTCATACGTGAGGTGTTGGAGTTTCCTTGGGGTTTGTTGCGAGTTCGTAATGGTAGTGTGCGTAAAAAATGTCTGCTACGCCGCAAGTTACACAAATGCAACAACACGTGCAGTTCAAATCAATATTTTCTACCGCTTGTACAATAGAACAGGCTGAAGTAGTGATTATTTCTGGCATATTATTAAATAGGTTGGGTCGCTTCACTATGTCTGGGCTACAATTAATTTTGCGTAACTCCGTCCAAATTAACAGGGTTACGCTCGCAAGTTAAAGTAATATAGCCCAAGTCAGAGGTTTTGTATGTACCGTATTTTCGTTGAAAACATTATTATTTTTTTCGCTCCTCTGATTCTTTCAAAATTCTAATAAATCATACAAGAAAATCCCTCGGGTCTTCTTGTATTTAACAGAGCCGTGAAAGAAAAGGCCTATTATCGTCCTACTCGGGCAAGGTAATTAAAGATTATTTTTTTCCTGAGCTTGGATCAGGGATCCAGGATATCACCGGCAACTCTATGACTGAAGATCTATCAGGTAAAACTGAAAACTTTTCGGGAGGGGGACGGTGGTGAAGGATTCACCATTTCCCTTGGTCACGTCAGATAAGTTACAGGGGTAAAATTCATGTCTGAAGAGATAGCAAAAGTAAAAGGACGATATAAACATTAAAAAAAAGTAAGAAAAGAAAAACTGCCGAGAACTCTTTGTTCCAGATCAATCACAGAACATAGAAATTTCTGCCAAAATCGATTTAATCCAGGATAAATATGATCACTACTGACATTTAATTGGATATCGCTAAAGTTGCAAATAAATTTTGTCAGTTTCAAGCTTTCGATTGTAAAACAAATAGTGACCCATTTTCGATATTTTTAAATTCAAATTTGGCTCCGAGGCTTGGGGAAATAAAACAGAGGAAATCACATCGATGTTGAGGGATGAATAATTGATTTATTTTGTTTTATTCCCCCTAGCCTCGGAGCCATGTGAGAGAGAGGTGTTAGGAGGTCTGATAGCGTAACCGCTGTAGCGCTTGACTAAGCATAAAATCACCTGAAGAGCGTTAACTTTCAGACCCTAAGGTGGAAAAGCCTCATGTGACTGTAAGACCACCACTATCTCAGTGCTGGCCTTGACATCGAGACAGCAACGCAAATGATTCGCCATTGATTCATCAGGTGGAATGGCCGGAGTCAGCATGATAGTGAGTGGTCCACAACCTACTGCAAAGTCAACGCCAGTGAAGTGGGAAGGAGTATTATTTTTATAATAACATTACATACACCAACGAAAGAGTGTTACTGTGGAGAGCGTATGGAGTTGGTTCCGGTAAATTCTTACCTTAAGGAAGTTTCTGTCAACAATGCAGTAGCCTTCTTCCCCAGTTAAACAAGAATACAGTTAATGCGATTTCCCACCATTCTTTTCAAACCATTAAAGCTGGACGAAGCGCAAAATAAACAATAGACTTGACAAAGACTTCAGCAAACCGTCGGCAAACCTAACGGATTACTAACGTACCTTAGTGATCCGCTATAGCTAAACAAGGAAGTGACGGTTTCTTTTTAACCATCTACAACATGTAGTCGTTTACTTCTTAAAAATTTCTGAACTTGGAAGGAAAGATTAAGTAGATAAGCACGACATGGGTTTGTTCACTTTCTTTTCCTGGTAAAATAAAGATGTTAGTCTTTTAGAAGTGGGCGTGAAAATTCTGGTCAGATCAGACAACAGGCTTATGTTAACTTGTTATTACACATCATCTACGCTCTATAATATGTTGCCCTATAATTCATTGATGGCTTTAGACCCGATTATATATATTTGGTGGGGATTGATCACTGCTCAGAGTGCTAAATATCAAACTAGCAGGGCGCATTCTTTAAAAAGCTCTTGTTTAAAATATACAATATCAGCACAATTAACTCTCAGGAGACATGTATTTTTATATTAAGTCTTTGATGTGAAAGTGGTCAGGAATTGCTGAAATTGTTGTCAAAACATGTTTTGATATTGTTTTTAAGGTTTGGTACTTTTCATCAGTCTAGGTTTCTTCAATTTGTGACGCGACGTTTCTTGATTCGCCTGAAATTTTTAGCTTCAAAAGCGGCGTTTTGGCGAAATTCAGTTATTATCGATTTACTACGCGGTACGCATTGGTTTCGGTTTCTCTCTAAGACTTACCTAACTATGAAATATGGGCGAAATTGAATTTTCATCTGTTGCTACCAAATGTTTGACCACTGGCAACATTCGCCCGTAAGACTTTAAAGCCCTTTTCTCTCCGATCAACAATCAATCTTTAACAATCAACTATTTTCTTCAACAATCAAGTCTTTGAATATTCAAGTTTTGCCGGGCATATCACATGCATGTTGCATATGGTTTAAAAGGAAAACTTGAATGTTGAAAATAAACCTTGAATTTTGATTATCCGACCGACTTCTAGCTAGTTTTCTTGGGGATCTGTTGTCAAAAAGTCTGGATAGCAGCAGATATGTCACGAATTTAAGAAAAGAAACGACATTTTAAAAAAAAAAACACGCTTTCCAGCTCACTACACGCTACGTGGGTAAATAAACGATTGATGTTTCGACAGTTCTTCTGTTATCTTCAGTTCTGATTTATACAAAGTACAAAATTGAATTTAAAGTGTATAACAAAATGCTCATTGGCTCCTGTCATTGGACAAAACAAACAATAGAAACAGAATAATGTGTGCCATTACAAGGAAAGTTAAAAATAAAACATGATAAAGTTGATGATTACTTGTAGGTTGCTCCCATTGAATGTGAATAACTTCTTTGATTTTAAGTTGGAGAGTTGTGGGAGCGTGATCTAAGATGCCAAATACTCATCAGAACAAAGACTGCTACATTGTCGAGAATTTTGTAAATGTCTGAAAATGTGAGAGGTCCTATCAGATTATTTCTGATACATCAAAACAGCTGTTACTGAGGGTATGAGGAAGGTGCGGTTGTGAAACAATTTAAAATTTACCAAAACTGGTTACAAATCTTTTACGTTAATTACCGGGTTGATACAATCGCATAATGGTATGTCTTAAAGGTCAAATCAAATGAAACGTTAAAAACCTCAAAACATGGTAAACCAGCTGCCAAATATGCGTGACACACACCCATGTGGCAGCCACGTAGATTCGCGAAAATGAACTCGAAAAAGAATTTAAATCACTCACGCGGCGCGACAAAATATTTCCATACATATCTTTGGGACTGTTGTCATCACCAATTTCAAGACTTTGAAGCCAGTTTCTTTCCAGTTGAGTATTCTTTTGCACAATTGCTCTTCGTTTCCGAGGTCTTTAAGGTGAACTTTGATCGAGATTGGAGCGTTTGGTGTACGGTCCTACAAAATATTTTCATATGGTTCGTTGGGGTTGTTGTCATCGTCGATTTTAAGATTTTAAAGCCTTTTCCTCTCCAATTGAGCATTCTTGCGCACGTTTCCTGTTCGTTTGTACCTGGTTTATACAGATGTATTTTTATCAAGGATCAAGTGAAAAGAAGGGACAACAAGCTAGATCATTTAAGCTACGACAACAGACGTCATTTTGAATTATGTTGATAACTCCACATAATAAGACAAAAATTTTCGGCCCTTGCTCCACATTCAAGATATCTGAGCAGAAGTCAATGGCATGATATTGGGGACAGAGGCAAACCTAACAAAAGAGGCTCGAGATTCTCATCCGCAATTTTCCACGTCTCTACTTGGGACGCCTGGAAAGACGATGTTGATTTGGCGACTAAATAAAAAGAAAAAAAAGAATGACTCGAATGTTCCTACGGAAGTTCGAGTTAAAACTAAATGGTAATAGAGGTCAAGAACTTCAAACTTCAGTCAGAGTAACTCCATTGCATGCAATTTTAAAAAAATATCTGCCAAAATTCAAGTGCTTTTTTAAACAATTAAGAGTTTCTTTATGTTCACTATTTAGTACAAACCAATCTCTTGGAGCAAACCCTTTCTTTGTATTCAAAATTATATCCTATGTGACTAATCTAAGTTCAATGCACAAAAAAAAAAGATTTAAGGTTGAAGATCAACTATTCTCTTCAATAATCAAGTATTTGAATATTCAAGTTTTTCCGGGCTTATCTCTTGAATGTTGCACGTGGTTTAATAGTAAAACTTGAATGCTGAAATAAACCTTGAATTTTGGCAAAGATCTAACCACATACATACTACCTACGTTATAACAACTTACCAGACGAACACTTAAATGGAGGAATGACTTTTGCACTTTTCTTTCTTTTATAAGAGCAGATTATTTCTAAACGGAGTGTAGAATTGGACACATAAGTAGAAAAGAGTACAATCGTTTAGCCAATAAGGAGAAAGGTTGGTGGGGAATCCATCCAGGGGAGTTCGGGGTGAGAAAATTGCTCGATAAACCTCATATGGAGATATTACGCTCTTAAATGGGTTGGGTTGCTTAACTATGTCTGGGCTACAATGAATAATTTTGCGTGACTCCGTCCAAATCAACAGGTCTAAGCTCGCTGGTTAAAGTAATATAGTTTTAAGTCAGTATTTTCGTATTTGAAAACATCATCATTTATTTTTGCTCTTCTGATTCTTTTCAAAAATTCTAATTAATCATGTAAGAAAATATTTGGGTCTTTAAGCTCTTGTATCAAACAGAGCCGTGAAAGAGAAGGCCTATTATCGTCCTACTCAGGAAAGGCACTTAAAGATTATTTTTCCCCTGAACTTGGATCAGGAATCCAAGATCTCACCGCCGGGTAACTCTATCACTGAGAATCTATCAGGTAAAACTGAAAACTTTTCGGGAGGGGGACGGTGGTAAAGGAGTCACCATTTCCCTTGTTTATGTCAGATAAGTTACAGGGGTAAATTTCATGTCTGACAAAATAGCAAAGCAGAAGGACGATATAAATGTTAAAAAAGAATAAAAAAAGGAAAACTGCTGAGAACTCTTTTAAGACACATGTTCCAGAACAATTATAGAACATAGAAATTTCTACCAAAATCGATGTAATTCCCGATAAACATGATCACTACTGACATTTAATTGGATATCGCTCAAGTTACAAGGAAATTTTGTCAGTTTCAAGCTTTCGATCGTAAAACCAATAGAGATACACGAAAAACAACTAAACGTATTTCTCTCTCACTTTTTTAATAAATCCATAACTTTGTGTCAAACTCATTCAAATATTAAAGCACATTACATTGCTTTTCATTCTGTGTCACTCAAACATGTAGAGAAGTTTATAAACTATAGCTAATATAGTGTATTTCTTATTTGAGTATCTTTAATTTCTAGCTTAAAAGTCCACGGGCCTGATCTTCATTTCAGCTCTCTTAGCAGAGTAACTACCACCCTTCCATTCCTCCCAGTTGATACCACGCCAAGGGGCCGAAGTATGCTGACCGTGGTAATAGTAGCCGTTTAAGTTGGCATCGAAACAGCTTTTGTACCACCAAGCACTACTATATTTTGCGGCACAGTTAATCGAAGTATCATCATTGTCGCGATCTTTGGTGGAGAATGCCATATTTCGATGATAGCTCAAGGAATCCCCAGCAGTTCCTGAGACAAAAACACCGACAGTTAACAAAAGTAGGCACAACACCAAACTTGCGGCTCCCCTCAAAGGTGGGAGTTCAGAAACCATCAACAAGTCCAGAAAATGTGTGTTAGTTTGGAGAGAAATTAAGTCTTTGAGCGTATTTCAGTCTCTGATGATAGAAGAGAATGTGATAAGCTCTGACACAAAAAAAAAACTCAAAACGAACAAGCAAACAAAAAAAAAAGAAAAAAAAACGAAGAATCTACTGCTTTGGGGATCTGGAGCAAATAACAGAAATAGTACCTTTTTCTGTAACGCTAGGCTTATTGGTCCGTTTAAAAATGAAAGAATCGCTCTAATTCGGTTGTATCTCTATGGGAACTATGTTTTGGGTAAAATAGACCAATCCACAGATTGTAAGCACTCACCTGTATACTTCCCAAGGCCAAGTCTGTATTTGTTTCTTTCGCTGGAAACAGAAAACATGTCATATTCAGCGTAGGCTGTCTTTCATTGTGTGTCTTCAAGTTCCACTCGCAGTCTACTCTTTGTTTTGGTCAGGCGGTGTATCTTGTCCAGTCCGAGCCAAAACTCACCATTTAAGTTTCCGAATCCACGTTTGTAATCCGCCCAGGCGCGATTGACGAAATCAACGGAGCCATCGAGTCTCTTCTGGAACACTGTCCAGCCCCCACTAGAAGATTTTTGGTCGCAAAACACCTCAAACGCACCTAAACCATCGGGGTCGATTGTGTAAACTCCTGTGATTCTTTGGCCGGATTTATACAGCTCAGCACAGTTTTTCATAGCTGTCGAGAGACATCGAACAACTATAGTTAGCATGATATATTCCAGCATAGATGAGTAGTAAGACGTATATATAAAATTGACAGAAACTCACTCTGCAGAGTTGTTTTGTTTCCCGTCAAAGCGTCGATTTTCTTCTCTAATTCGGCCAGTTGATTCTCTATTTTGAGAAGATGTGCCTTGATGTCCTTATTTGCTGGTCCAGAATAATAGTTGTTGAAGTGAACGTTGTGGCACTTGCTTGATGTCGAAGTATCGGGAGTATTTTTTGCTGTGTTGCTTTGACCTCTTGCTGTTTTAAAACTTAAGCTGCAATAGAGCAGACAAAATAAAATCTTCACAAAAATCATTATGGACTAGGAAAGTGTACTCTGAAGCTGCTATCGTAAAATCATACGCTCCAATACCGGAGAATCTAATTTATACGCTTTCTTTGGTGACGACGTCGGTTCACAAGGAATAAGATACTTTGTGTTTGGGTGACTGCGATAGTCAAGCATATCCGCTGTTGCTTAAGGGTAAGAGTAGTAATTCCAGTTGGGCAATTTATTTTAAAATGTTGGTTTTGTATTTCATTCACTTCAAAATTTTTGCTTCTTCAAATGCTTTGCTTCCACAAAATTTCATGAATTATGAAATCTGTTCTAATACGCGGCAATTTTATGATGTCATGCTCGCAAAAGGAGTTAAAATTTTACAAAACTACTCACTACGCAACTGCTATCGTAAAATGATACGCTCCAAGATTAGAGTCTGAGTAATACGCTCTTGTGACTGCGTCAGTTCACAAGGAAGCAGATTTTTGGTGTAACATGTGCGACTGCCAAAGTCAAGCACATCCGCTGTTGTTTAACTCCTTATACCCTAACATCAGTATGCATATTCTCCATACTGGGCTGTTCATTGCTTAAGGTGCTGACAAGGAGAATTTGTTAAACAATCAAGAGCTTCTTTAGTTGGTGATCATTTCCTTTATTCTTGCGACCTTGAGTGCCTGAGTGGTGATATTGTATGGAGAGTTAATAGGATGTTAGCCACTCTCAGCCCGGTTAAAGGGTTTAGGGCAAGTGAGTTTATTTCTGGTTGAGTAACGTATTCAAAATGTTAGTTTTATACTTCACTCACCTCAAAACGTTTGATCCTTTAATGTTTCGCTACTATATCTTTTCATCAGATTTGTGAATAGCTGCAGTTTGATACGTGGCAATGTCGACGTCATGTTGTCATGTTCGTAAAGGAAGTTGAACTCTTACAAAACTACTATGAGAGGCGATTACATCTGTTTGTCTGAAAACCTACAAAAAAATCCGCACAATTTCTTTAACTTCTTATAGAACCTATGATACTCGCAAGTTCGAAGTAATTTATATGTTTTCTAGAATAGAATACACAGTTATGGAATACCTAGAATGTATTGAGGTGAAGCGTTTTAAAAAGGCAAGAATTATTTTGTACCATCGCGAGAGGTAACAAGCCTCCTTCCCACTCCCTCTCGACTTATGCATTCGTCATGCCTGCTGCACACCTAACGGGAATACCGGCTTAAGTTAAACAGAGGAATTAATGAATCACTGATTGACTGCTTGAAGAAGTATGGGGGGTTTGTAGAGAGCTAAACTGCCTGTTTAAGACAAAAAAAACTCATAGAATATTTTAGTTTTCTAGTATCAAGACAATTTATCCTCTGTTGTGTAGTCCCTTGCCAGTATCTGAGGATTGAATCTTGTCATATTTCCTTTTCACAGTGAGACATGATAGAAGTTGAACTGTTCTGATCTTCTCAACAAGAGAGGAACAGAGCTAGAATTTTTCAACCGTGGGGTTATGGTTTTGCATTTCTAAGCACCTTACATTAAGTGGTTTATACCACTGCTCTACCTTGTGTATTAGTGGGCTTCCATTAGCTCAATGCAAAGAACAGCCAAATGGAGTCTAGCATTGCTAAAGATGTATGTCACACAGATTCTTCTGATTCATATGTTTCCACAACATTTAAATATCATGTTTATATTGTGATAACTTAACATGAGATTCTCTTAGAGGTAGTGGTCACTGGCAGTCCTAAGATCACACTCCTCAGCAATTCCACCTACATTACACTTATCTTGTCTGTTGAACTTTCTTAGCCTAAATAATAAATTAGGAGTTAATTGCATGTGCCTTACTGCCTCAGTTGACCAAGAGGATGCTCATCTTCATCTGGTTTGGTGCAAATAATAATCTTAAATGATCTAACCCCTTTACTGATCCCTCCTTGCTTAGATTGCAAGCCCTTTAGGGGCCCAGTTCTTCTCTACTGAATCACATTTCTCTTAGAGTTCACTGCTTGAGGTTGGCAAATTGATTGAATTCTTGTATGGCTTTGAATTTGTAGAGTTGCATTCACAACTGTGCCATAGACTAAAAAAAGATCACCCAGCTGGCATAATTTTAAATTGTTTATCAACTTGTGCTTGTTCATTTGGAGGCTTGTTAGGGAGCAATCAAGCTAAAAAACTGTTTGGGAAATGGATTTCTGGAAACTGATTTCTGGAATCTCAACTGGAAATTGACTACTCATCAAAGGAGACTTTTATTCAGTGAGAGATAGTAGTTTTCTACCTTCACCAATGATTGATTTCAAATCTATGTGAACAGCTCTTAAAAAGAAATACAAAAAACTTTGCTGAATGGAAAGAAATATCATTTTGTCTTTTAAAGGCACATGATAGCATAACAATCTACTTATATCCAAACGTGTCCAAGTATTGATTTATTGTCTCCCTGACTTGTTTCCCACCTTCACTCATTGTCGGTAAGTCATCGCTGTTTTCAACATCAAGGTCCACATCATTGTGAATGAAAACAGGCTCAATGGTTGCATCATCTTCCATTTCCAAGCACAGATTGTGTAGAACACAGCATGCGATAACAGTGGTAGGTACCCTTAAGGTGTCCTCCTTCATTGTCTCTAACAGACACCTCCAGCGACCCCTAAGCAATCCAAATGTCTGTACAATTTTTTCCCTTGCTGAGCTAAGGGCTGTGTTAAAATTATTCTGAGCAGCAGAAATATTTGGAGTTTGTGAATAGGGGGTCATAAGCCAAGAATTTAGGTCAAAATTCGAGTTACCGACAAGAAGGGGCTTTACATCATTGCCATCAATTATTCGACTTGGTGCATTCAAGATCACGCCATTTTGAATGTCACGCTGTAACGCACTGCTGCGAAGCATCTGTGCAAAGCTCATGGCACCAGGGAATCCAGCACTGGCGTGGATAAACTTGCAGTTACTATCAGCTACGCCTAAAACAAGAACGCTGTAGAAAACTTTCTTCCCCAAAAAATTGCACTTGTTTTCTTTCGGTGCGATAATTTTTACGTGGGTTCCATCCAAAGCACCGATCACATGGGGAAACATTGAAATGTCTTCAAACTCGCTGACAACCTTTCCTACTTCAACCTCGCTTTTCGGAAACTTGATAAAACTCGCCGCTTTTCTTCTCAAAATATCACAGAATTCATTCTTAACCACATTGGCCGTAGATTTGGGAAGGCCAAAATTAACTCCACAAGCAGTATAACAACTCCCAGTTGCAAGACGGTTCAAAGCGACGGCAACTCTCTTTTCTAAGGAGACTGACGGTCTCATGTTCGTATCTTGCCTAGATAACTCAGAACGAACTGTCTCACAGATTTTGAAAAATGTCTTTCTTGAGACATGGAAATTCTGATACCATGTTTCCTTGGGAAGATTTCCAGCGAGTAATTCCTCGAACATGAATTGATCTCTTTGAAGGACCCAGACTCGCTTTAGTGGACCGGCTGGTTCAGGTTTTTGCAATTTTTGCGTGAGCTTTCTGTGTTCCATGTGAGCAATTAACGCCATCAATGTTCGAATCCTTCGCTTTTTGAGTGTTCGATACCTTCGTATCAGGTTTGCCCGATGGTTCCGAGTCCTTATCGCTTGAATGGCAGCCATAGCGCTTAGGAAGAATCGAGCTGTGTTTTTGTCAACAACGTACAGATTATCCATCACAAACACGATGAAGTTTACACTTTTCGCGTATATTCGGTTTGATTAGATCACTTCAGCCGAGGCTGTCTCTCAATACACCATGGGGCAGATTCCCTCGCAGTTGGTTTATCAGTAAAATATTTCGGCGAATTTTGATGTGAGTGCAATTTACCTAAATAATCCCATCCAGACGCTCCGTGTTTTCATCGCCTGTAAACCTACACCAGTTTAGAATTGCTAATATTTTGCGCATTGTTCGTGAACCAATCAGCGCGCGACTGTGACAAGCTTTCTCACTTTCGCGTCCACCATTCGACTGGTGTCGATATCGACTGTGTTCAAACATGGATAAATCAGTTAGCAGTCCTTTATCAAACCTCGAACATTTCAGGTAAGAAAGCTCTCAAACAGTTAATATTGCATTTAAACTGAGAATTTTCGATTAATTGTTGGGTAAGCCATGAATTATTCGAATAAACTTGTGAACGGACCTAAACCTGCCTTTAAGCTCACGTCCACATGGGATTTCAATCGATGTGAACATGTCTAGTAGGGTCTTCTGGTGAGGTTCCAAAAAATATAATCTAGCTTTGCACATGAGGTGCACTTAAACTATTTTAACGAAAATAGCAGTTGAATAAGGAGTCGATGTGTTCAGATTGGTTTTTTCCTGTCCGCATTCGGACGAGCACAGGCAAACATTTAGTTTCATCACTTTATGAGCTGTTAACATAAGCAGGAGCGCAGATGTCCACTTCAGCTTAATTAGCGCCTCAGATGAACTTGGAAATTTTCAGTCCATAATTGATTTTGTAAAAGACATCGTGTTCACACAGCTAAGGGAATGAAGGTTTCGAATGTTTCAAATTAAATGCAGCAAGTCGCGTTGTCGCACAAATGTCATGTATACCAAATAACGTTTGATTAGAGAGGATATTTTCGAACAGGAATCGTCAATTTCACTAATTAACATATTGAAATAGCTCCTGTTTTATTTTGGGATGCCCTCAATAATCAACAATTTCACCTGTTGCGAAACAAATAACCTCGCTATTTGAAAGTGAGAGTCGCAATTTGCACAATGAATTTATCGGATAGTTTCATGAAACGAATCCACTCCAGCGGAAATTGTATTAATTCACTCGACACCCACGGAGCTACCCTTGCTAGTGTTTGCTTCATGCTGGGTGTCCTCCGGGTATTGATTGCATGCTCAACTTTTCGATCAGTTTAACTTACAGCATCAAGCATGTATGAATAAACTTTGACTGTTTTGAGCATTTTTTCCTCTCACCTGTACGTTCTTGCGGTTTTTTGAAGGAAATTAGATCGCACTTACCGCGCACCCGGGCATTTATGTAAACTTTCGGCGCTTATTGAAAGAGGGGCGCTTAGTCGAGGGGGGGCCTGGGGGGAAGGACGATTAAAACTGATTCCGTTGTAGTTGAATCTTAAATAGTTAAATAGTGTGGCGATAGAAACAGGATTTTCTTGTATCTCTACCATTTAAGAAGGCGAGGGAGGAGGGCGAGGGCGCTAATTCGTGAGAGGCGTGTAATTTCATAGAGGGTGGGTGCGTGTTCGGGGGAGGGCGCTTGTTAGAGCGTGGGCGCTTATTTGAGGAAATACGATATGCCGAGTTCAATAAAAACTCGGTTATTGCTCTCCGCCTATTTTAGTTTGTAGTTCAACAAGCATGAACAACACAATTTGCCATCGTTGTACCCTCTTTATAACATCTAACGTGAACAGAGCATGATTTTAAATATGAAAAGTTTTCCTTAAATGTATGACATATTTTAAAGTAAAACTTCCTGGAGCCTCGATTTTGTAGACGTTCCCGCTAAATGAAGGTTTCGCCGTGGTTATTATTTTTTGCTGGTTTCTGTGTCGTTTTATCATGATTGATCAAAACTTTTCCAGAGCGTATAGTCAGAATCGGAGAACAAAAGTTTGGCCATGAGACCTTAATAGAAGAAAGCTCCCTCCGATAAATAAATCCCGACATTCCCCAGTATTCCCGTAAGTAAATGGAACAGAATCTCTCACGGACGCATTGTGCCTTAAGCCTCCTCCTTCCCCTCCGTGGGAAATTGAAAGTGCAACGGTGCGGGCACAAGCTTGTAAAGCAGTCACTGAAATACAGCTAGTCGTTTTGAGCGGTTATTCTTGAGTTGGACTCAGCGTTTTTTTTTTTTTTTTTTTTTTAATTCGATTTCAGTCAGTTCACTGCCTCAATGTTATCTCCACCAGGGAGCGATAAAACAGGCGGCCCGAGTCAACCACTACTCGGCTTCCGTTCAGAGATGCTGGCACGAGAGAGGAGCACTATGTCTCAGTCCAAGGTCACCGACCCGAAATCCCCTGAGCAGGCAAAAGAGTCCCGATTCAGCGCTTTCACAAGCATTTCTTCCGATGGACAAGGCTTACCTTCCGCCGCTTACCCATCCAGGTCAGCGGACTCATTCATTTCGGCTATGCCCATCAAGCCGGGTCGCTCCCCTAACTGGTCGGACGCAGAAACACGGTTTCTTATTACGCTCTGGGGCGAGCAGTACCAGAACATTAGTCAGCAGAGGAACGCGAAGGCCTGGGACGTGGTGGCACGATTGCTTAATCAGAAACTAGCGCAGTGCGGTTTTGAAACATTTCGCTCGGGTCAGCAATGCAAAGGACGGATGAAAAGTGTTGTTTTCGATTATAAAACCACAAAAAAGCGCATCGAGTCTGGTGAGGATGATAGAGCGTGCGACTATTTTCAAGAGATTGATGAGGTGCTGGGAAAGACTTTTGTTAACGACGGCATCAATGCGATCGAGTCCGGTTCAGCTGTAACTCAAGAGGACGAGAAAACGTCGAATACTAGTGGAGAGAACGAAGAAAGCAACGCTTGTGACAACATTGTAGTGGTTAATATTCCAGCAAGTGCTGCACTAAGCGTGGAAACGACCACTGGATTAACTTGTTTTAGTAAAGAAGTCAGCCAGTCACTGCCCGATCACGGAGAGCTGTTAGAGAAACGTGAGCCACCCAAGAAACGGAACAAGAGGAAGACCTCTGCAGAAGAGGACGAAGACACATCCATGCTGCGTTTCCTTAAGAACTACATGGAGGAAAGCGACAAGCGTGATCGTGAATTTTTATTGCAAATGACAAGGATGGACCATGAGAGGGAGGACAGAAATTTTGAACGAACAATGAAAATGATAATGGAAGTAGCCAAAGTGTTTAAAAGTAGCGTTGCTAATACACCCGATAATCTCAGGGGGAGTGGTTTGAGTTCTGCCCCTCACCATCAAAGTGGAGATGCTCGGTTTGCCTCTGGTTATGGAATGGGTTCTTCACGCGCAGGAGATACTCGAGAGACGCCATCGAACAGAGAGAGCAGAAAAAAGGCCAACGATGGTTCGGCTCAAGACGAGAACGGTAAACCACATCAGTTTCTTAGAGATTATATGGAAGAAAGTGATAGAAGGGACAGAGAGTTCTTGCTACAGATGACCAGACTGGATCACGAAAGGGAGGAGAGAAGCTCGGAACAAACTATGAGGCTCATGTTGGAAGTCGCAAAAGTGTTCAGAGGCGGCAATTGATAGCCCTGTTCCTTGCCGCGTAAGTTGTATATTTGTAGCGTTAGAGAGATGTTCATTTTTTTGATGTGACAACGTGAGGTGGTCCCTTTCTTTCGTATTACAACAGCTTTAATCTGTAGGAGTTACGTTACATGTCAGTTCTGTCTCGTTTCTGCGAGAAAGTTCGCCTTTCAAAATAAATTTAAAAGAAGTGTGTACTGGAAGTCATGGGATTCTCCAGACATCTCGATTCTTATATCTGCTCTATCGAAATGACTTTGCTGGGAAAAATATGAAGAAAAAGACAAATTTATTTCAAATTTAAATCAATTATAATTAATTTTGATTTTAAAGATTTTTAATTTAATAAAAAGTAAGAAAGAGAGGATCATTTTGAATTCTTTGTTGTTAGACATCCAGGAGCAAGATATCGAGATACATGGTGTCGTTTAGACTTTAATGTACCATAACTGGAAATGCTCATGCAGTCGAAAGCTAAAACCCTTCCTGTGCGCCGTTAAGTAAAGTTGTCTTGGGAACGATACGTATTGTAACTACTAAAAAACGCTTTTATGAGAGTTTACAACCCTTAGAGTGACCAGCATCTAATTTCTTCTTACAATAATACTGCTGAATCATTCATTAAGATCATGAGAATTAAAGAAATAATCGGTAACCTAAGAAGCTTTGATAGTTAAACAAATTTGCCTCGTCGGTACTAAAGGAAATGTATGATGAAGTTAATGGGGAACATGGATACTGATGTTAGGGCGTAAAGGGTTTAGTTTGACCGAATATGATAAACCACAGAATCTTATCCCAGAGAGTAGAGAGAGGTTAATGAATTTAAAGATTCAGTGATGAAAAACAGAACGTATTAATAGCCTCCATACCCCTTCATCACCCTGTAAGTGGCTATGCATGATTAGTTGGCATAAATCGATGCGTAAAGGAAGTTAGATGACATGGGAGTGAAGTGGGGGAGGGGGGTGGGGAGGAGGGGAGAGGGGGATGGAAGAGAGGACAAGAAATACGATAGAGATGGACAAGGGATTTTATAATAGATCGTTTCACTTCTCCTTCGCATACTTTCCCTCATCGGCTTGAAATCCCGACTAAAATCCAATGTAATGACAGTGAAAATTATGGAATGGCACAAATATTTTTTATAATTATTTTCTTCATGTTTTCTGGACTACTAGCTGGTGTTCCCTTAGAATGGTTTGACAGACATAATAGTCGACGACTTGGTCCGTTTGACTCTCCCCCGTCCTGCATTAGAAAGGGACGGTAACCTCGGAACTTGCATGCTGGTGGCTCTTGAATTACGCGCGTATTTCAAACGGAGATGCTGATCCATCATAGATTCACCAAGAAGGCCTGATGACGACCCAGCCATCGACTCCGCAAACGCCTGAACCCGTCGTTCGGTCTCGCCCAATGGAAGCAGACTTGAGCGCCGGGTGTCGCAATCTCCGCTAGATTCGTTTACGATCGCGGGTTGGGGAGGAGTGTATCTGCGTATAGGTAAACCTTGTCTGTACGAGGGTGAGTTCTGCTCAGCATAAAGTGTCAATAGTTTTTGAACCGACAAGCGTGAGGATAAGTTGGAGCCCTGTGTCAACCTTTTTTGATCAGCTAATGTTGCGAAAGCGCTGTTCACTGGGTTTTCGAGAAATTTCATTTCGGTGGCGTCTTCTGTGAATAATGACTGCGCTGAAATTGACTGTTCCTGTGGAATAACTAAAACAGACCCCAGTTTTCTTAATCTAGACTTTACGATGTGACTTTGTTGTTGCGTGGCAGCGTTTTTCTTGTCACTCTGAAATTCTTCAGTTTTGCTTGTCTGTGCGTCGTGCGTATCTTTATCCTTTGCAAACAGAAACTCAAAAATGTCTTCTTCAGTGAAATCTGCCAAAGTTTTTTTTGTTTGTTCACGATCAATATGGAAATCAGTTCTTGAAGAGTCAAACAAAAGCGCTGATCTTGTACAAAACTTGACTGAATCGTTCTGAAGGGCTCTCAGGTACTTAAGCACACTTGAAAAAGAAGCTCCCGCTTGTTTTATGAGAAACTGAGCGCAAACTTTATCACCGCGAATGAAAGCAGCTATTAACGGCTGCATACCAACGTTGTTAGCTTTATTAAGTTCACTTGCTCTCGCCGTGCCTCTTAATGCCTCTACCATCATTTTAACGACTAAAAAATTGCCAGACATTACAGAGAGTAAGAGAGTATTGTTCCCATCCTTATCTGTGATATTGATCCTTAAATCCATACAAAGCGGATCATTCAAAAGAAATCTAACCACTTCAAGTTTTCCCTGCAGACAAGCCCACGAAAGTACTGTGCGTCCATAGTTGTCCTTCTTGTTAATTGCGCCCGCAACAACTAAACATTTTAAAATCTTCATTCGCGTGCGGAAGTCATAGAGAAAGCAGGAGTGTATTAGGGCCGTTTGTCCGTCTTCGTCCACTTCATTAACATCTACACCAACTTTTAGAAGCATTTTTACTTGTGTCCTTCTTCCACCCTTCACGGCATTTATTAGCAGCATCTTCCTTTGGTGACGCGTCAATCTTTCACCCGCATAGCCGATTTAAGAATTTTGGAAAACGTGCCGAAGCATTTGTCGATTCCACAAATTGCGGCAGACCAAAGTCAAAAATAAACTTTTTGTGTTTTCTTGTGCTTTAAAGAATAAGTGTGGTTAACATATTCCTGTCATCAGAGGAAGATTACTAGTCTCTTCGCTAAACAAGGTGGATATAATTTATAGCTTGGTTAATCATCGAGGGAGCTTTTGATTGACAGGATCATTTATTACAAAGGAAACTACAGCTTCGGGTGACACTTAATTATGTAGAAGGACAAAGGTGTTTAAGTCGATTGTACAATTATCGTGATCCTTCATAGTGAATGATATTAAATTTTCCTTTTTTAGAGAGCGTTTTCATTAAAGTAGATAATGGAAATAGAAAAACCACGTTTCAGTGCATACAATCGAAGACACAATCGGAATGAATTTGATACAGATAAATAGTGGAAATACCACGGGGAAAACTGCGATTTATGTTGAAGAAAGTGATTATCCATGTTGTTACTTTTCCATGCGTTTTACAGAAGAAAATAGACTTCTCCATTCTAAATTGCGTTCACGCACTCAGACGGGGGGAAATGGTTACTGAATATTATTTCAGCCTTAACGTTATTGCTGTGAAAACCCTTTACCGGGTTTTTACATGATGAAAAGACAAGCGACAATTCCTTCCTTCGCATGAGTGCTTCCCTCTAGTTACAGTGGTCTGGTGCCTCACTTCGTTGCGGACGAGCACAATTCCGAATTTTCTCCTCAGAGTTGTTAATATACGGGACAACGCGCGGACGGTGCGGGACATCAAGGGATTTTCTGAGATTTCCCAAAATGCATTAGAATACTTGGTAACCTGGCCAATAAGTAAATCACCGCGAATATTGTGAATGTTTTGGAAATTTTGGCCTAACTTTTTTCAGTTCGCGATGATAAATATAGCTATAAATACGAGAGGACTCAGATAATCTTCCGGATTTTGGAAATTTCAAGCCAAGGCATGGAAGGCAAGTATTCCTAATTGCAAACCCGTGTCAATGACAGCTGGATGTTTTGTGCTAAATGAGTAGCAAGCTTATTATGTTTCCGTGGTTTCACATATGTTGTATACATTTTACTTTCCTTGTGAAAATTACATTTTGCGGTTTTTTTACTCGAGTTCGTAGAATTTTTTGATTAGAAATAAGGATATTTGAAATTTTGGTTTTTGAGGCAGTGTTTTTTTGTTACCTGAGCGATCCAAATTGCGATATTTACAGAGTAAATTCTACTCGTGTGGTCTCTGTTTATGTGGTGCTTAAACGACCAGTCACTTGCTCTATAATTACAAGGTTTCGTGGATATTTGATCTTTGCATAGTACAGGCCTATCATCTTGAAACTCAAACATCTGTAGGCTCTCGTTGTGTTTGACATTGGGCTCTTCCTGAGACTCGACTCATATCAAGAGTATCACTTTATCTTTTGATACCTTTAATACCCGACTTCTCTAGTCATTTTTTGCTGGTTCCCAGGAAGTTTCAGATAATGAGAATCCATTGTATTTTATAGTTGTGTGATGGTTTCAAAATGGCAGCTGCGTGGGTCTCCATGCTTTCATGGACGGTTTTTTACCAATTTCAAGCACAGTTAATCTCTTGAGTGATTTATGGAAATGCATAAATATAATTCATGTATGCCCTGTGTAGTTGAGGATAACATCACATTTAACCTAATCACAATCTGCTTTCATATTTCTTTCTTCTTGTCTCTATCTTCCTAAAAAAGTTATTAATATGTGACCTCAATTCATCACTCCTGAGAGTTTTTATAATAGAAACTTTGCAATTTGATGTTTGATGTGTTGGTGATGAAAGTACAGTAATATATTGATTGGCAATTTTTTAACATAGTGATTGAAATATTAGAGATATCTGAAAGAATGAATTGTAAAGTCACATATGACAGGAGTAAAAGGGTTGACAAACCTGTCTAATATGAGGGATTGTGAATCAGGAAATTTATTTGATATCATGGCCACTTTGATGCATCATGCAAACGGTACAAAGAGTATTTATCTATCTGATGTGGGTATCAGCATAGTTCTTTTTTGAATTTTTATGGATTAAGATGAGGAGTAGGTCCTTTGAAATGATAGAAAAAAGAAAGGAGGCCAACAGTATTAAGAAGTCCAAAAGAAATTAAAACAACTTTTAGACCATGTTTGATTTTTTGATATCCATCTTGTCTGCTCAGGTTAGCCAATATAGGACACAGGATTCACTTCATCTTGCCCACTTGCAGATTTAGCCTAACAACAAGAATGACTTATGAAAAACTTTGTAAACTTTGGCTTATTGTTTGACTTATTGATTTATTAGACCATCATGGAAAGTGGGATAAATCAAGAGGAAAGCAAGGAAAGCTTAGAGAAGAGGTATTTTGTTGGCTGAATATTGTATATTTATTATATTAAAAAAATATGTACTTCAGATTCCTTTCCCATGTAGGTCACTTCTGCCAGTTTATTAGTAAGAATGCAAAAACTGCAGTATCTTCAGGGGCCTGCTCTATGAGATTTGAGAGAAGCTACCTTTAATATTACAGTCAATTTTTTTGCCTTTCCTCTATTTTAATCATGGCTTGTAACCGTGACCCAGGTTCTGTCAGCAAAAGAAGAAGTCCGCCCAGAGCATGAAGAATATTTGCTTCTGCTACAGCAGAGAAACAGGTGATTGAAGAATGCATTTTAGAAATTTTTTCATACATTCTGATTTAAAAGTGTATATTTAATAATACTCATCAAGGTTTTTTTGTTACAATAATAGCTTTTTTTTAATAGCTAAGGGTGGTTAGGAAGTTTTCGGTAAACTATGGAAACTTAAGCTTAGCACAATTGCATGTCACTGAGCCATTGACCTTCCCATGGCTCAAACCCACAGCTTGCAATATAGAGTACAGCACATTCATTACTGAGCCATTGCACTTCCTGCAACAGGGCTGGGGAAAAAATCTGCCTTTTTGTGCTCTTCAGGTGAACCCTTTGTAAAATATTCTTCCGTTTAATATGAAACTAAGCAATATGGATACCAAATGTTCTTCTTCTTTCTCTCTGGTTTTAATTCTGTACATGTATATACAAGTATGTTAGAGGTTGGTACCTGTGTTTGAGCTGACTCAATATTTATACTTATTTTCAATATTTATGGAATTAAAACAGAGTCATCTTTACCAGTTATAATATACCACTTGTCATTAAATTCTATTTACTTTATTAGCAGCTATTTTTTATGTTAAATTTTATGAATAATGCAAATTTTCTTCCCTCTTATTCTTTATAGACTTCTAAAGAAACTAAAGGAGAAGAATGAACAAGAGATTGAATTGGAAAAAAAGGAGCAAGGATTCTCTATTTATGTCAACGGTGCTAATGTAGAGCTTGGCCAAGCTTATTCCAGGGCAAAATCACGCAGTTCATCAAGGCATGCTAAGACAGCTGGAGGTGAAATAATTATATTTCACAAGATATTAAGGGATTTAGGAGAATTAATGATTTTGACATGATCAGCAGCTATCAAGTTGAGGCATATATTAAAACCTTTTTCATTAAGGAGAGTATTTTTTACTTGTTTACCTTATGTGCTTATTCCCCTAATTATGCAATCATGCACAGTACAGGATGTGTGATGCAATACTGAGGAGTCACCTTGAAATTACTTTAGTCTGCACTTCTTAGTCCACATAGCTGATGTTTTTTGTTTTTAATTGATTTCTTACTCAGATGCTCATCGCGAAAGGAAAAAAATCTTACAACATGAACTGGAAACATTAGAAAGAGAAGCTGAAGCGAGGTGATGAAGCTAGGACTTGTTATAATAATTATAGTTATACATCAGTCATACCTATGGTACATAATTAGCAATGAGGCTGCAACCTTTATAGAAGTCAAAATTAACATGCACAGTAATTTTAAAGAAAAAATCCTTTATTGATGTCTATCTTTAGTTAGCAACTATACACCCACCTCTACCCTGACCAAACAATAACCCCACTTGTTATCAGTTGTTTGTTGTTGGGTTAGGGGAGGGGTAGGGATGTAGTTGCTCAGATATTGACCTTTATCCAAAATCCCTTAAAATGAAATGGAATCATTTTGTTGCAATTTACCAAATATTTTTTGGGACAACAAGAAATCTGAATTACATTTAAAACTATGTTGTATATTTTATTTATATCCATTCAGTACCCTAAGTTCACAAAATTTGCAAGAGTAATTTTACATAATTTGGTTCATACTTCAATTATTTGTACATACTTGGATAACATTTCAGTGTGGAAAACATAACCTTTATGAAGTTATTGAACTTTAACATTTGCTGTCATCATAGAATTAACAGAAAAATTTACCTCTCTACTTCAGGGATGTCAGAGTGAAAACAGCTCCTGATCCCACTCCTAGTACAAGAAAAGGCTGGAAATATGTATGTTAACTGTACACATCAATTCTAGAACTATGGAATGATGCACTAGCTTCTTGCCCTTAACCCATGAACAACTAAGGATACAAACAAATGATGCATTTTAGTCTGACATTGTTGGTTACCCTGTGCCAAGATGGAAAAAGTATTGGTGTGAGGGAGATACCTGGCAATTCAATTTTACACATTTGATCTCCACAGAAACAATGCAAAGGGCATTAACTATCTCACTGCCCTGAGAGAAACCTTTGTACTCGCAGAGACTTGAAATGTATCATTATGTCTGTCAGTTACATGAGGGTAGCAAAAGGTTAATATGTGATGTATGATCAAGGACATAATCAATACATGATGCGTGAATTTTACAGAAAGGTGAGATTGATTCATGAATTTATGAACCAGCATGATATGTGATTTCCTCTCTAAAAATAAATTGTCAGGCTTGCTAGCCTGATAATTTTGGGCTCTAACACAGACCTCTAGTTCTGCATTGCTTACCCTGGTGAAGAATGACTTGACTACAGATCTATCTGACTTAGCAGATCAGGATCATCCCAAAAGCAATCTGTCTATATTTTTAAATATCCATGCTATTGATCTCTTATTAGGATTCAATACAAATAAAAACAGTTGGAGGAAAGAGTGTGAGACTGAGAGCTCCAGGTATTATTTGGATTGATTTTCAAATTGTTGTTGCTGAAATAATTTTGGGTTTAACAATTATAAAAAGTGGTTATATGGTTACTAATAGTTCAAACTGAGATAATCTCAAGTTCAATAGGAGGAATGAGATCTAAAACAGAATGGCTTTGAATTTTTTTTTCATTTCAGCTAAATTCTGAATCAATACGTCCACAGTTAGAAACTACTGAATGGATAAGTTAAAATTAGAAGTTCAGTAAATTTTCAAAAACAACCACAGTAAAAACATCTACACCTGTAGGCATATTTTATTTTGATCATTGTTTGTGTTTTAACTTGAGTCATAGAAAAATTTAAGTAGGTTGTGTAGAAAGTTTTACTCATCCAATCAGACAAGTGGCTTGGAGCTGAAGTCATTCAATCAAGACAAAAACTTTCCTGTACTTGTCACAGAGGAGTGGAAGGGTGACAGTTTTTGACCCTGTTAATTAAATAAATATTCTCATTGATTGAAAGAAACCTCACAAACTTGTTATGGGTTGAAACCATCACAGTCACAAAACTTATCATTTTTAGGAAGGATTACTGGTAAATACAGTGAGGACTTTGAATCTGTGGCTGTGGAAAGTAGTGACAGTGCTTCTGACCAGGTGAAGATTTCAGTGCATACCTGTACAACTGTGCATAAATATCTAACAAAATGTCCTCTTACATTTTTTCTCTCTGTTGATGGCATATTTTTTTTTCCAGGTGGCCAATTTTTTATGTTTTTAGCTCACCAAGTTAAATATCTAGTTACCTTAGATCCCTGGTTGCAAAGAGGACAATTACTGATCTAAAGATTAAAAGATCTCTTGGTTTCCAGTGTCATAAATATAATGAAACAGGGCATAATTAGGAAGCTCATTCTTCAAAATTGAGTATGCTTATTGTTTACTTAATAGAGTTTTTCACAATGTTTTAAAAAATAATTTGCTAAAATCTATGAAGCATTAAAAAACAAAAAAGTATTAAGGTTTGTTGTATTTCCAAACCATGATCAGCTTGCTGAAGAAAAAATAGCACATTAATATTGCCAGACTCAATTTAAAATTTTGAACAAGTTTAGTTCTCAGGAATTTAGCATCAGAGTTGTTGTCCATTTACATATTTTATCCATATCCATACAAATTCACAAAATCATTATTAATTTCATGTGCTGTAATCACTCTAGGATGTTGCTGATAATGACCTAAGTGATCAAGATGAGTTAGAGTTTAACAGTGATGATGAAGAGGATGAACTTACTCTCAGTTTCAATGATGTTGAGGTATATGCAGCACTTCCATCTATAATTATGTCTATACCATTAGGGACATACTTTGCCTTTTTTATCATAATGCCTTTTATTCGTTGAAATTTGTTTAATTCATTTGTTAGATTACATGTATCTTGATATTTTCCTTGCCTTACTGTATTACAATAGACACTTCGTAAGTCTCTAGAAGCTGATGAATCCATAAAGGAAAGTATTGAAGCAGCCAAAAAGGTACTGACTGCAACTCTTATTGGCTCTTAATTTACACAGAGCCACATATAGCAATTTGTTTGCCATAGATTTTTGTATACTCTACTTATTAGTTTACCATCTAGATTTAAATGTAAAGCATAAATGTGTAGTGATCAAATACATAAAATATGCTTTACCTTACAAATCGTTGTAGCCAGGAGGAAAAAAAAGTCAATTAATACATGTATGCTTTCTGCTCTTCAGAGAATAGAGGAAGAAACAAAGGAGAAAAATGCCAACAACAATACCATTATTGATGATGATAATGAGGATGAAATTGAAGAAGAATTAGAAGGAGCAAATAGTAGTTTAAATCTCCATGACGCAGCCGTGTTAGAAAGACTACCACAATTGACAAGTACACCAGACAAAAGACAGCATGAAGTTGAAAGCTCTATATACACTAGTAACAGCATTTCAGAGAGTCTGGGGTTTGGGAAAACCTCATCAGTTGACACTGACCATGGAAAAACTAAATCTGTGAAAAGCAAAGACTTGTCTGTGACTTCTGATGGCAATGAGAAAAAAATTCATCAAAGAAGCAAAAAGCATAAAAATGAATCAGTGAACCCAGTTGAGGATCTTGTTGTTCTTAGTTTTTCATCATCAACAGGTGAGTTAATGAGTCAGTGTAGTTCGTGTATTTGAATAAACACAATCGCACACAAAGTAGAAACTAAGGAGAGAAAGGGATGCAAGGAAGTTTTATCTGAAGCTCATTGTCCTTTCTCCTAAACCAATGTTGGAACAAATTATTGCGTAGGCATATGCTTATAGCTTTGTACAAGAAACTGTCAGTAGTACAGCTTCCTATAATTATGTTACCATAAATACCACTTTTTACCATTACATTTAAACCTTGTTGGTTGTGCAGGGGCTATTCTTGTTGTTAATATTTTAATGTGATAATTCAGTTTGCTGAATGCCCCCATTTACACTGATTTTAGGGAAAAGAAAAGAGAGAAACTTGTCAGCAACAAGGTAGGCATCATTTGTCATCTCTTAAGATGGGTTATAAAGTTACTGATAGTGGTTACTTTTCCTTGAGGATAAACATCATACATTTAACTAAGTTTATACAAAGTTAAGGAATTATTGTCCTAAAGAAAAGTCTGTTTTGTCATCTGTCAGAATGTATTTGAAAATCAATGAACTCTTTCCTGTTTTAATGATTGCAAAAGCCAGCCATGAATTTGAAATGGATTGAATTGCTAAAAATTATTCCCAATTATCATATATAACAGAAATGGAGTGAAGTAGCCTAAAAATAAAATTTTCACTTTCACCTACCTGCATGCATTGACTAAATATTTTGCTTCACCTCCAAACTTGCCTGCCCATGTATGAAAATTGAATTGTCAGTCATTTCCATATTCTTGCTTCCTTATGAAAGACGGAAGAAGAATGCAGATCCTTATGACAGCACAGAACACTTTTCATCCAGAGATGACAGATCCTATACTAAACAACAAAAGAGGTGAATGCTTTGATTTTCAAATCAAATTGATTATAAATAAGTAATTAGTGAAAACTAATTAACACATAAAAAGTATTTTTTACTTATTTTTTTAAGAAATGATTCCTAAGAGCGAAATATTTTGATGAATGATTTGATACAGCTAAATGTATTTTGGTTAAGGTTGACCTCAAGACCAGGCTTGTGGTAAGCTGCTGCATTCTATGCAGACAGGCATCATGCAGGTTGACCTTGGAGATTTCCAGAACAGATGCTTGTGATTGTATAGCTTGGCAGTGCCTGCTTTGCTTTGCTAATCTTTGTGGATTATTTCATATCTACAACTGTTCATCTGTTTCATATCTACAACTTTCATCAGCTGTTGTATTTGTACCCTACTCCTCCCACCTACAATGTAGGTTAATACAGAGGGTCTGTGTAGAATTCCAGTGAAATTTCAGTGCAACAGTAATGGTTGGTTACATGCCACTTGGTGACCATCAGAAGGGCTGTCTGAGCTCCAGACCCTACCATGTTTAAAGGACATTTGAAACCCAATATTGTTTTTTCGATGAGTGTAATTCTTGACTGATGATACTGCATTTGAAAAAAAGTGTTTAAGACTGACTGAACACAATCAGGTGATGAGGAAAGATGATGTCAACAATCACATTGCTTAACATCATTGATTTCTAAACCACACTATTGACTGGGACTCTGTGCAATGCCTAACCTACAGCACTAACTACTTCAATGACTGAGTCTGAAAAGCTGGTTTAGTAACTTTCAACAAACTCCCTTCAACAGGTGTGTCAATCAAGTACTACTGGCACCATACAAATGACTTATACATGACATTAACTTTACAAAACAACAAAACAGAACAACCTAACTGTAATGATGGATCCAAACAGTTTAATCAAAACCAACTTACAGCCAATAACATCCAGGAAGAATTGATCAACTATTCACTCGACTCTGATGATAACTTCTGTTCAGGTTGTCAAAACATCAGTCACCATTAGTCCTTCTCAGGACCACACTCAATTGCACAATCAGACTATGCTATCAAAAAAAGTTGATTTGTCCTCTTGAAGTTTAGTATTTTTGTTAGATTAATTCAAAATTGATGTTAATTTGTTAAGTGGCAAAACATTATTTGTTGTATGAATACAGAATGAATTGATTTAAAATTTTTTAGATCAGAAAAACATGAATCAGGAAATCAAGAAGTAACCTTGACATCAGGTAAAGAACTAAGTTTGTTTTTGATAAATCACCTTCTGATTTCTTGGTGGGACACTGTACTTCTGAGGTACAGAGAACTTGGTGGTGAGCTTTGCCCTGTAGTAGGTTCAAGTATGATAAATGTCCTGCTTACTGCTAGGATCAGGTCAAAAGCATCATGTGTCTAAAGGGTACACTGTATCTTCATGTTGGTGACAAATGTCTAACAGCTCTCTCTAAGAAACAACTGTGCTCAAAATTCTCCATCTTTCTTCATCTGTTTGGTCTAAAAGTAGTTTGAATTAGCACTTCCAATAATTGCAAGGAAATCAATAAGCAAGACTGTATTATTACATAGAATAACAAATTGGAGAATAAAAATCAACTAAGTGCAGTTTTGTTTCTTGTTTTCATGAAAGCTTCAGAAAAGAAGAGTAGACCTTTGTCTGCAACAAGAAGAATGGAACCTAAGGATAAATTGGATGACAATACAGAAGAGATTTTTAAAGCAATGGCTGAAGAGAATCAGACAATAGGTGAGAGATTATGACATCACATTGATTTTTAATCGCTTTGAAAGTCAGGTATTAAAATTGAAATATGAACAAAACATGTGAAAGGCAAGAAAGGGTTACAAATAGTCCTAATGGTTCAGCTTATGAGTACATGTGATGGGTCTCACATGCTAAGTTTTTATCTGTGAGCCTCGATCACTTTTTCAAGCTTAGGTTTTAAAAGAAAATAAGGGGCTTTCACTATTGAATGTATGTTAAGTCTTACAAATACACTTTAAAAAAGTTGATTTTTCAATAACTACATGCAAAAAACTTTGTCAGTAGTAGTGGAGGGTACATGTAGGTGCTGAACAGGAAGCAGCAGAGGAGAGCAGGATTCTCCTCAGAAGAAAGGTGGTGTGGCAACCAAGCCAAAGCCCACCTCTGGGCACCTGTTAGCACAGCACAGACAAACTAGTGTCTTGATTCAATACTAACCCAAAAACTTTGGAAGGACTTATGAGGAGGAGTAGGAGGAGGAGGTGGAGGAAGAGGAGAACAAAGCCAGAAAATTAGCAAATAAAATTGAGGAAAAGCAATGCCTCTGCAGTTCTCCCAGGGGCCCCTCACAGCCTATGAGTGAAATGCTTGCTTTGACGTAGTTATAACCTTGTCTACATTACAATTGGCCTTATTTAAGTTCAAAAATCTTGAGAAAAATTACTCTCTCTCTGACTAAAATGATACTCTGGTTAAAATGTTGTGTCATAGGGTGGTCAAATGACTAATATAAATTATATTATAACCCTTTTCTATCTCATTTTTTTAGAATCAAAAGCATCTGGATCTCAGACAGCTCCAGTAAGATCTAAGGTAAGTTCAAAACTTTAAAGCACTTTCATCAAGGGAAACGGAAACAGCATTAGCGAGAATGTTCTTCAATCATTGGTAGTGATAATTATTCTTGGCCATTAAGTACCATTCTCCTGGTACTTAAACTTAACATTAGGTGAAACATTTTAAGCTAGAATTGAGATTTTTATAGTTGGCTTACTCTAGGTAGTCATTCAGTCTTGATTTAGGGTGAGATTTTATCATGCCGATTTTACTTGAGTTTTTAGTACAACTTTTTCCTAGAACGTATCCAGCTCACCATTACATGAGGTTAAAAGGCCATCATCATTGGCTTCCTTTCCTTTGAAAACTGATGACACCATAGCTCTTGTCACAGAGAAAGTCAGAAAAATGGATGCAAGGTGAATGGACAAGTTATATTTATTTCCATTATTAATTTGGCCTATGTGTACATGGCGAACAAAAGGCCCATATTTTCCTAATTTTACGTCCAAGCCCCTTTGTACAACCACCTTCCTGTTATGTTAGTTATTTGACTCTGTGTCTATGCAGTAATTAGCAATGTATTAAAAGGATTTAGATTCATTGTTAATATAACAATTGTTGTGAGCTTATTATTTCAAACATTGCCACTCTACCTACTACAACAGAGGAAGTTAAACATGATATAGCCATGTAGACAAACATTCACCAGAGTGACAAAGAGGTCCTGATTTTTCACCCATAGGCAACAGCAAAGTTTGATAGAGCTTCTGTCCAAACTGGAATGCAAGGCTCCTTTTAAAGTGTCCAGTCCATCACCTTCTCCTCGACGTTCCCCAATGAAAGCTACTGTGCCATTTACACCTGTGACAAAATCTTCATCCATTGAGAGTCAATCTAAGGTAATAATGTGTATTCTCTTGTCATTTTGATGACACAGTGGTCTATTGGCTAGAATGCTACAATCTGGATCAAACGGTCTGAGTTCAAGACGTTACCAGGTCACTGTGTTGTGTGGTCTTGGGCAAGAGACTATACTCTCACAGAGCTTCTTTCACCCAAGGATATAGATAGGCACTAATGAAATATCTGTAAATAACCCTATTGTAGAGGTCCATTCCTCCCAGGAAGAATAGCTTTTCTTCCAGTGGCTTTATGCTATGGAAACTTAGATAAGCTGTGGCAGGATAAGCTGTGGCAGGATAAGCGTTCCACCTCACAGGATGACAATGTATTGATCCAACACTATTATGTTTGACTCTCTATAGAATGGTTTTAGCATGAGGAAACACCTTGAATTTTCACTGAGTGCTCTTTCAAGAGGTACTAACAGTTTGTAAGGGAAGGAAATGACGTTCAGTGTTGTTCAATAGTTGGGTTCTGTTCCTGCATCTACAATGTAGTGGCTTGACTCCACTTCGCTTTCTCTTGAACAGCAAACAATGTATTTTGTTTTTTCCTCCAGGATTTCAGTGTAATGGATTCACTGGATGATGCTGAAAATAATAAAGCTGAAAGTGAAGAGGGAACAGATGTCTATTTTGAGATTATTTCAAACTGGGGGAACTCAAGTTATGTAGGACTAACAGAGGTTTGTAATTTTCCTCTCTTGTACTGTTGTAACTATTTTTGAAACCGACATCATAATCACTATAAGGAGGTAGTTTAATTGGACAAGAGATTGGCTCAATGTATCTAACTAACCTGATGGTTTATTTTCTCTTCACGTAAATCCTTTGTTCTTCAGATTCAGTTCTTTGATTTAAAGGGGAACACGGTTCCTTATGATGAGCACAATGTGAGTTTATCGGGCCATGTTGGAGACATGGGTGTCCTTGGTAACTTAGCCAATGGGAAAACAAAGGTAGTTGTGTTTACCTATCATTTACCATAATTGATTGTATTGTAAGCCAAGTTGTTGTGGGTTGCACCTTAAACTGCTTTTGCAAAATTAATGTTCCCTTATATCTTATAAACGTGTCTTTTATCAATAGCTAAGTACATGCACATGCCAATGGCGAATGAATTCTGAATTTTACTTTTTATTCTCAGACTACTAAAGGTCGGTATATGTGGTCATGTGGGTTTCAAACTAAACATCCAGTTGAATTAGTGTTTCATCTGCCTAGTGGTGACGCTACCAGCCTTGAATCTCACGGACTATCAAAAATCTCTGTCTGGAATTATAACAGAGGTATCAAGGTTAGTCACTGGGAAGCTCGTTCTGAACATTCTGTTACATGTAGTTCTGCACAACAACACAACATGCACTGTTATTGTTTCATCGTAATTGACTTGTGTACCTACATGTATGGAAAAAATTTGTGATTTCCCTGGCGTCTATAGTGACAGATAAAAAGACAAAAACAGGTGCAAGACAAGAAGTGATTACGTTAAACACTTTCTCGCGCCTAAGGTTAAGAAAAAGCTAACCATGTGGGAGGAAAAGCTAACCGTTAACTTAGTTACTTAGAACCCTTTCAACACTGCTGATGTAGCAGTAAACAGGCCGCTTGTGACATATGAACAGCTATGTGCAGTGGCTCACAATCGTGGCAAAACGTACGGAGACAATTTGTTCAAGCATACGATAGCTGTCCTCAAATCTTATTGCTAGACTGAAGGAGACGCCTTTCTCACCTCTCCCTTGCTAACGTTTTACTGAGTTTATCACCAAAATATGTATTCAAAGAGAGGAAAGGGGGACAGGAAATAAAAGGACAATATATGAACCTAGATTGGAAAAAGTACACTTTGCTTAATTGTCTCAGACAAAAGTTTTGTCTGAATGTGGCCCGCTTCTGAGTTCTCTGTAGTTTAGTGGTACATGTAGAGCACGTATAATCCAAAGGTCTGAGGTTCAGTTCCTCGTAACTTTTCCTTATCTTGGAAATGATTGAACCTATCTCGAAATCGTAAGAACCTCAAATGACTTCAATCCATGTATTGGATTTATCATTTGCCACTCCTATTATATTAGTACTGCCCTTTCTTAGAGTTTTTCCTTCTTAAGAGTTTTACGTATTTATTAACTTTTTTAAGGAACTAAATGTCGGAGTTAGAGATGTGAGAATTTTCGTCGGAGGGGACCTTGTATGGGAAGGAGTTATTGACAAAGTAAGTGAAGTTTTGTCTTACTTTTGAACGTTTTTAGCTAAACGTTATCTGCTGAGTATACATGTACTTGGATAGCTGAAAAAGATAGTGTGTGATTGAACTGAACTTTCTATTATTTCAGGGGTGTGGTAATCAGGTGTTTGATTACTGCAAAGTTATTAATCTCATCCACACAAACGAACAATCGGAAGGAAGCAAGGAACAGGCACAGGTGAATTTATGAGCATAGTTAGTTTTAATTCAATTGCAATCTATTTTGTAGATCGAAGTGAAGAGACATGTTGAAACTATCATCTTAGACAAATCTGTGATCGTATTTCCTCGAGGTTACAACATTGTTTCACGCAAACCATCTGGTTAAGGGTACTTCCCCTTCTGCTTCAAAGCTAGATTTATGTAAACAATTCTGTTTGAGATTGTTGGTCCATGACGTACCTCGCTAAATTTTTGTCTCCGTTTTGATTTTGTGAGAAATTTGTTAACACTATGATAAAATTTGCAAATGTATTCAGGTTCAAGACGTTTACTTTTGCTTGCAAACAAAGACCATGAGGGTTAACCTGTTGGGTGCGCTAAAACGAGTGGGCCTTGATCACTTTTCTAGTTGACTGTTGCTCTTAAATTTAATATACTCTGCTTATGGCTTATGTAGGATCCAGAGCCTATAATTCGAAGTGAAACTGTGGTATTGAGAAGATCTGTCGATGGACAGAAAGGGGAGAACGAAGAGATGAGCGCTGCTGTTGAGTGTGATAAAAGTTCTGAACAGGATGTGAGCAGATGCAAAACGGTGTTGTTAAAATCGTCAGCTGAGGAAGATCCAGAAAGAAAAGAGCGTGATATTAAGGATAATAGTGTCGAGCAATATAAAAATGAAAGGTAATGCACATTCACTCTGTCAGTTTCTATAGTACTCCTTGACAAATAGATTCTATGTTTCCGTGCCTCTGGTAAGAACAAAAGATTGGCATACAAGGCGAAGCCAACTTGACGAATCTATCATACTTGTTGTTATTGCAGACTGAGGTCGTTCAGTTGAGAAATTAACTAAGCTCTCTAAGGCACGGCATTCATGTAAAGCAGCAATATAATGTCATTTATAGTGTAATTAATATAAAATAATAAATAAAATAAGATTACTTGCTCCAATGTGCTTTTTCTTTAGACATGCTAAAGATGGCAAACAATCTAAAGAACATGAAATGATACCAAAACCCCCAGAGTCTCCCAGGATGCACCCAAAATCCCCAAGACCACATCGACAGGAAAAGTCAGCAGAAGAAAGTAAGGCAAGCCAACAAAAACAAGGACAAGACAGGTAAGAAGGTTTAGGTTACTATACTTTGTTGAAGGTTAAGGACCTGCTGCTCTGTTGTTGCATCTCTCACTGGTGGTCAGTACAAAATCTACCAGGTTTGCATTAGCTCTTGTATTGCCCTGTCCCGAACGATGCGTTTTTGTTTGAAAATGCAAACCTATTGATGCTTTTGCGCGTGTCATCCACCGTAAAATTCACGGAAACGCTAATGAACAAGACATTTTTTAAAATGATCTGAAAAATAGGGCCTTCGGAAACACGTCATTTTTCAAAATATTCCGTTTCTAGTATTTCTCGTAGTGATATGATGAAAAAAGGGCCACCTAATTGTCGTTTCTATCGGCATTATGTGGCGTGCTTTTATAGACCGTAGGGGAAACGCGTTTAAACGATGCGTTGCAAATGGACACAGCGCATTGGCGTGGACATATGAAAACAAAACGAAGACGTCGGTGTGGGAAAAACGGATACGTTGAAACGCATAAACACTTTACAACTGACTTGTATGGACCAAAGGACCAAAATTCCTCTGATGTAAATATCTCCAAGGGTATTGCTGCAGACCTCGTTATTTTGACTGAATATGCGCTGTAATAGCATGCAATTAAAAATGTCCGTATTGATAACATAACAACCAAACGACCGCCATTACATAGAATCGTGTGGTCAAGTTTTATTTTATTTGTGTTTTATTTCCCTGTGTCATTATAACACTTCAAAGACAGCCAAAGACAATGGAAAATAAAAGAAGTACTAGGGATAAAATTGAACCAATAGCATGTGCATTTTGTGTTCAAGTCAATTATACAAGGATCAATTCTCTGTGCCGGCATATCGTCCATGTGAGATCACAATGAGATATGGAGAACAAATAATTTAGTTAGGAAGTGAGTATTAAAACAATCATTGTTTCGGCATCTAGAACTAAGGAGAAAGCCCTGAGGTCTCTGTTAGCTGCCGACTTGACATCAAGCAATGAAAAACATGAGGAGCAATCTCTGGTTACTAGGTAAATAGTAGTGTTTTCTTTATTATGATGCAATTGATATTCATAAAAAGGTCTTCCCTCATAAGGAGAAAACATTCCTCTTAAGGGAGGGGTGACTCACCAAAGAGATGATAAAGACAGGGATTGGGTTGTGTGCGTAAGGGCGTTCCACAAGAGTAAACCTGCGCTGCTATTTTTACCAAAGTTTGCGTAGTGTGTATGCGTATATATATATATGTATATATGTGTGTGTTTTTGTTTTTACCATATGGAAACGGGATATCCCCTTACTCGTGTAGGAGCAAGAGGCAAGAGCAGCTTATATTGCTGCAACTTTGATTTTCGATCTTAGATTTTCTTCTGCCGTTAGGTCAAGTTCCACTCCAAATCTTTCATCCTCAGAAGCTCTTGGGAGCTCGGATGTGAACAGTGATTCTCTAAGGTAAGTTGAAAGACCCACTTAAAGTATTTGATACACACTCTTTTAACCTTTTAATCCCTTGGAGTGACTATTATCTAAGTTCTCCTTACCATATCACCCCTGGATCAAACATGAAGATCACGAGAATAAGGGAAATGATCACCGACTAAAGAAGCTCTTTATTGTTAAATGAATTTCCTTGTAAGTGACTTTCTTTTTTCCTTTCTTTTTTTTGGAAGAGGAAATTCTGTGGCTGGCTCTGTGTTACCAAACAAGCCACCATGGTTAGAATCAAGCAAGAAGAAAGACAAATCTGGGTAAGACCAAAATACAAGTAATTTTTTGTAACTAGCTTGCTACTAGAGGTTACTCTCTAGTTTCGACTGTAACCTGTGGGTACGTCCATCTCTATAGCACCGTATACGCCTAATTTGTTTCCTATCACCCACAGTTCTTCCTCCCGTTCATCCTCAAGATCGAAATCCAGACCCATATGGCTTGAGAATGAACCAGGTTAGTGAATGATTGATAATTTCAGCCAGATTTTGGTGTGGGTAATAACATAATTTCTCGCGTAATTTGGTGCAAATAAGCACAAGGTCGTAGGGCGAGTGCATTTTGTGGTTTTGAAAAATTTTGAGGTGCTTATTTGCACCAAATTGCACGAGAAATCATGTTGTTACTTTTAAATAATTTACATGCAAAAATCATCACAAAAAGACAAGACAGGCGAAGTTTTGACAGCGCGATGGTGCTATTTGTAATTTGTAATTTGCACTAGTGTGGCAACTTTGCACTCGTTACATGAAAAATCGTTTCAGCCAATCAGAAGCGCGTAATTTTTTTTATGTGTTATTACACAAGATATTCAGCTGTATGAAATTATTATTTTAGCCCGTGTCAGAAAATTTTAGTTACTTAATTAATACCATCAGGTCTCGGCTTTCTCCCAGAACCTCCGTGACCATTGTCCTGCGGATTGGGGTGGAGGGTTTAAGAGTAATGCAAACCGGAACCCGAGTTTCCTATCTGGTTTGATAACAGCACATGTTTTTACAAAAATCGTTTTTTTTGGACGTTTTTACATTTCTTTCTACCGATTCAGCAGCGGAAAAAAGCACCGATGATTTTTACCAAAAAAAAAAATCGTTTTTCAAAGACGTCGAAACAACGTTTCGCCATACATTTCTTTCTACCGAATTGCAATGTTTGCCCTGTGGCGATCCCGGAAATCGTGGCGCAAACAAAAGGATCCGATTACTGGCAACTCGTTCATTCAGGTTTTTCCTGTACTGTGGAACAATAGAATTACTTTGTGGATCGATGAATGATAGGAGTAGCCTTAAGAATTGGCGAAAAAGTAGATGTAAAAATTTTCACAGGTGTTGATCCAGGAAGAAGTAACAGTTTGACAGATGTCCGACAAGCATCAGATGATCTTTTCAAGAGTGAGAAGCCTCATTCCAGACCATCAAGTGGACGTAGATCCAGCACTCCTGGAGCCAGTGTTAAGTCGGAGTCATGGCCCAGTGAATTTCTTGACAAGTAAGTATGCAACCACAACATCATCAGTGTAATTTTCACGGCCAGTTTCTAGCGTTTCTGTAGTAATAAAGCGCTCTCGTAGCCCTGCGTTTACACTTAGATCGGTAAAAGGACCATATTCACCGTCCTTTTGTGAATACTTAACCAATAAGAGAAATTTCCTAATGAGTGACGTCAGCTGTACAGAGACACATCGGATTTACTTTTCTTTACTCAAAGAGTGGTTCGGGAAAGTCACACGGTGCTCTTAAGTAATCAGATGCAAAATCCTTACATATGCTGGTAAACTTTTAAAAAGTTACACATAACCATGTTTCTTCACAGGGATGAATGTCTTCCGACTTGTTTGGATGGAAAGGCTGGTCAACTGGTAAGTATGACTATTATGAGTGCTATCTACAATGTAATCTATCTTGTAGTAAACCGACCAAACTGTGCTACGTCAACATTTAATATGCGTCGATTGTAGAGTACTGTGCACAACAAGAGTCTTCGACATACATACATACATACATACATGTATAAGCTTTATTTATCCTCGGATTTCAGTGTAGCTTACAAGCTAGTATCTCCGATCCTAATTACTAATTTTAAAAGTTACAGCAAGAACAAGGCTAAAAAGAGAAAAAATAATTAATAATATAATAATATAATAATATAATAACATAATAATCATTAATATAATAATATAATGTAATATTAATGTAATATTAACAGAAACCGTGCACTAATAGTTTGCGCTTAAATTCACTATAATCTACAGTCTTTCTAAAGTGGCCAGCGAGGGAGTTCCAGTACTCAACAGATGAATAGCTAAAAGAATTTAGACCATATGTGGTTGTAAACGGCTTAGGAAGTGATAAAATATTGGTGCCCCTTAAGGAGTAAGCAGTAGATCTTAGCTTGATCAGTTGTTTCAAATAGCACGGATATTTACCAAGATGGAGACAGTTGAATATACAAATCATCATATATTGTATCCTCCTGTTGGCTAAACCACACACACCTGCCTTGTCTAAAAGATCATCATAGTTCGAGTCCCAGTCCTTTAAAACAAATCTTAAAATACGTCTATTTAAGGTGTCCAGTTTAACAGAGTCCTCTGAATTACAAAAGTGCCATATCATTGAACAATAGTGAAAATGGGATAACATAAACGTTTTATAAAGGCGAAACATAATTTCGGTAGAAATAAGTTTGCCAAATCTTTTGAAGACACTGAACTGATTATTTATTTTTTTACATACAGAGGATATGTGATTCTTGAAATTAAGTTCATTATCAAGAATTATTCCAAAAAGTTCCAGGCATCTTGTGGTTGAGAAGGAGAAAGGGTAATCGGTTTTGCCAAGAACCATCCCTTGGTGTTTAGCGGGGTTGGCTTTCATCCCATTGTCTTCGAACCATTTGTTTGCTATTTGTACATCATGATTGATCCGCTGTTCCAAGGCTACTGGGTCTACGTCAGATGTGTGCAGTTGGCAGTCATCAGCATAAGTGTTTAGTTTTACAGACTTAATGTGAAAGATGAGGTCATTGAGGAACATGTTGAAAAACTAAGGGATGATTCATGGACGGCACATGTTTTTATATGCAAGTCGTTTGCTCAACAATATTGCGGCTTTATTTGTATAGGAAGGAAAAGGTCGCACTGGCTCGGGAAGAAGAAAAGATGAGGATAAAGTGTGTAGTGATGTCGGAACAGAAGAGACGGGTGCACAACATGATGCAAAGCAAGCACGAGCCACGTGGAGAAGGTAATTTTGAAAATAGTAATCAAACCTTTTCCATGTGATGTTTTGAAGTGATATACTCCGGGAAAAGAGGTCCGAAGTCGACGATAGTGTTATTTTATCGAGCAAGTTAAGTCACTCTTACATTTCCTCCCTCCACCTGAAGCATAAAAGTGGTTGGGCAAACCGAAGGGATACAGGAAGAAAAGCTGAGGGGTAACCTGCGTGGGACTAGCATCTTATCTAGGAGGAGCTACAATTTTCTTAGTAGCGTCATGCTTCGGAGACCGGGCTAAGCTCTCGTGTAAAGGACCACTCGACTCAAAAGCATCTTGCGAGTTATCGAGTGCAATTTCTGATTTAGTCACCCAGATCACATGCTTGTGTTATGACGCCTTAGAACATAATTCTCTTGGCACTTACCTTTAATCAATTTTAACTTGTTTTTCTTTACCTTTTATCACAGAGAGCAGAATTTGAGTTTAGAGGAATCGTGGAGTTTATTGTCTTTGTTTGAGAAATCACACAGAGGGCGGATAACAAAGGATCTTGATCTGGAAAATCATGGTAAGTTGTTTCGTGTGCGCAGTCAGTCCAGAAGCTAAATAACGAGTTTACTTACCTCGACTATTTTGTATAGACAATAGCGGCTTTCGCTGAGTTAATAGGGGAGGTGTCGGGGATGGAAATGTACCGTTCCTGTGTTGGGTGATGTGGGATTTTTTAAATATCTTTCGTCATTGTTTTTTTTTTTCAGGTGATGCTCTAGATGAGATGTTATCAAAAAGAGAAGAACACATTCAGCCAATAACAGAACAGTCTAAGGAGATCGATGAGAGGTACTTCAGTATAATGTAAAGATTGAATTCCCAATCTCTAATAGGATGGGAAGTTTGGTCTAAGTTGTGTGTTGTTGGAGAAGACTAACTTTTTAATGCGGACTTAATGTCAGCTAAAAGTTAGTTGTGCGGATGAAGTAAATTTTGAAGAACGTTCGTTTCGAGCCCTTGGCTGGCGTTGGTGCAAATCTGCGAAGAGTTTTCCTTAATCGCTGACACAGGCGACATTATCTCTGGCAATTAATAACTGCTTACATCGGGTGTGAAGCTGAGGATCGTTTACAGTTGTAAAAATAACTTGGACGCGTTAGAACTCTAAGTTCGTGAGCGTGTCTTAGCTAGGTTATGGCAGGTTTGAATCTGTTTGTTTCGGCACCGTTTATTTGGACGATTAAATGCACTAATGGGTGTAAGAACTTAACATGTTTTCGTTTTGAGCAAAAATAAAACAATACGTAGTGTTCAAAGTGTTCGTAGTCAATTCATGCAGTTTTCCTTAATTTTGGAATTTGAGTTGATTTTTCTTTATATATTGATCATAATTACTCTAATGGTTATTTCCTCAGTGGTTTGACCGATTTAGAGATTCCAACACTTCCCAGAGGAAAGCAGTTAGTGATCTACATCAAGAACACCTGGGGAGACAGAAACTACGTAGGACTCAATGGAATTGAGGTGTTCACAGATTGTGGTAAACCTGCAGAGATTATAGAGGTTAGTGATTGTGAGACTGGCAAACTAAGTATTTGTTCCCTCTGTGAGTAATGGTACTAGGTTTTAGTGACAGGCGATTCAGGAAACAATGTTTTCTTTTAAAAGCATGACTTGTTGAATTACAAACATCAGCTACTGTATTGAGCTTTCTAAATCAATGGTTTGAAAGCTGTTTTTAGATATCCAAGGAAACCGTAGTATTCTGACTACTTATTTTCATTCAGTTTTGTTCCCAAGCTAAAGTCGAAAAGTTTTATTATTCGCAGTATTTTCTTGAAATTGATTGATTAGCTTTGATAAGTTAGCTGAATCTCATTGGCTAAATACATATTCCACTTGAATTTCCCTGGTTGTTCAATAATCCGATGTAAACTGCTTGATTAAAAGCCGCTTGCAATCGGTCAGACTGAAGCGGTTTGTTGGTCCTGTAGTAGACAATAAAGCCATGAAAATGTGGATTAGGAGCCAGCCAGATTCGAAGTGTTTGTTATCATTACAATTAAAGATTTTGACGCGGTAGAGGTACAACTATACATGTTTACTTTGCAAGATATGCAAAATTATGATCGATTTTTCAGGTCTCGGCGGATCCTCCAGATATTAACATCCTTCCTGAGTATGGTAATGATCCAAGAATAGTGACCAATCTCATTGATGGGGTTTTTCGCACCAGGTAAAATGTTACTCTTCTCAACAACTTACGCAATTGTGTGTTTGTACCTGCTAACAGGAGATGTGATGGATGACTTATCGCATTATTACATTTTATTGAAAGGGATGATATGCATCTTTGGCTGGCTCCGTTCACACCTGGAGGAAAACATAGTATCAGTATTACGTTTGCTGAAAGCACAAGGATCGCCATGATAAGAATATGGGTAAGCTCTTCATACGTTACAGGGTTTCGTCATAAAAATCTGTTGCTCAGTTTCACTGGCAGTATTTTCATAGCCTACGAGCAGCCCTCATTAATAGCGCTGCAGGACGCGCGTTTCTCCACCGAGGGAAGAATTGAAACGAATCGGGGAGAGGTTTACCGGGGGTTTGGCCTCATTAATAGAAGACTTAAGCAGAGACGTTTTTGTGAAGCGGACGGCAACCGGAAGGAGAATAAAACTAACTCTGACGCGCTTTAACGTTAATACATCGACTGTAAGTTCTGCGTTTTTGCATTTTGAACTAAACTGTACTGACCAAAAAGGTGTATTTAACAGCTGGAATAAGAGCTCTTAACTTGCGGCTGTCGTCACCAAAAAGGTGTACTGAACAGCAGGAATAAGAACTGTTAACTTCCGGCTGCCGTTTGCTCATCAAAAAACGCTGGTGCTTAAGCTCCTTGTTATCAGTCCCAGACCCATTGCAGACCTCTCCCCGGCTTGCGTTGCTGCAGGCCCCATACGTTCCCTCGGGCAAAAGGAAAGTGCATACTGATTGGCTAACAATGAACGCCTGTTCGTAGGCAAGAATATTTTTGATCCCGGATATTTCTGTCTACATAGAAAGGTTTAGATGTCCAGGGCATAGACGAAAGTTTTCTCTAGTGGATAGTATTCCTTCTACTTGTGCATTGTAATCTGGCTAGAACATGAAATGAATTTTCAATTTTTTTCCTTCCAGAATTACAACAAATCAAGAATTCACTCCTTCAGAGGAGTACGATGTATTGATATGACCCTGGATGGGAGCCTGATATTTCAGGGAGAAATCGCACGGTATTGTGTGCTCTTCGTTTGTGTATAACTATTTGTGTGTTAACAGTTGAGACTTGTCTAGGTTTGTCTATTTCGTGTGACAAGAGGCAGAAACAAAACATAAACACAGATCTGTTGATGATTACGCTGTCTGTGACTGAGTTACAACGACCCCGATTTGTTCTTTGTAGTTTGTTGCATCCTTCTATCCCTTCTTTCAGGGCAATTTTTTGCTGTGTGTCGAACGTTCCTCGATTATTTTGGATTTGTTTTAAGACACCTACCCGCTCAGTAATTCAGAAGCACAGGTTAACCTATCGCGATTTGGTCACTGACAAACTTCCCTGCTTTACACAGTCCGTTTTTGTGAGCTCCCTTTAATAGTTACCTTTTTCCGGATTGGCCGTTGAGGTGACTTTGATCTCGATTTTACGACCATTGGAAAAAAGTTGTCTTTTTGGTAACCTTGAGTGCGCTCTTTTTAAACTGCAGAGCCAGTGGTGTCCTTGAGCTAATTATGCCTTTGGCGACGTAAGTAACCAATTAGCTGGTATAAAAACAACTGTTTCAAAAGGCTTTTAGTCTTTAGTTTTCTTGTATTGGTTCTATTTCGACGGGTCTATTTTGATATTGGAAAATACAAAAAGCCGTATTACTTACATTGTTGGGATAGTTAATCATTTGTAAAGGCATACTTTTCAGTTGCTTTGAGTTGCTCGAGTAAAGTAACTCTTCAAGCAGTTTCTCGAGTTGTCGATGATTCAAGTTTATGACGTTGTCACCTCTGAGCGAGTTACCTGCCTGACAATAGTAGCTTTTCATCACAGTCAAAATTCTCTTAATGGGTTGCTGTTATTCCTTACATACAGGGTGTTACGGAACCCATCAAGAGCATTTGAATAGCCACAACGTTAAAGTTGCTCAAAAACCTTTTCAGACCTTGAGGCATATTTTCGCCAAACTTAAGGATCCTGTCACGAAAGAACAACGAACCGACGCTATTTATTCTATTCCTTACAATGACTGTGACAACGAATACATCGGACAGACCAAATGTCAGTTTGGTTAAAAGAGCACCAAAAAGCGGTTTTTCTTTGCAAAAAGGAAAATTCAGCTTTATCGGAGCATACATGCCTAACCAACCATACAATTGGGTGGGATAATTTTAAAATTGTCACCACTAATCGGCGTTACCACCAGCGCCTTTGTTTGGAGGCTTGGCATATTAACTCCGCCCACGCTCCTTTAAATCGTGACGATGGCGGTTTGCTTCCTGACGCCTATTTACACCTCGTCAGAAAGAAGGCCGCCAATTAGTGATCATCTAAAAGGACCTCTTGTTGCAGCGTTCAGATCACCCCTGATGAAGGCACTAGACAGGAGTGTCGAAACGTTGGGTCTATGAATTGTAACTTCTTCAGTTACATTCATTTGATCTGCAAACAAGAGTAGCATCAAACTACGTCTGAGAATCCTAAGTACTACTTCTCAGTAGATGTACTACCCTCCTCCTAAACTTCAGGTAGTTGTGTTCTGTAATCACTCTCTGTGCCATTTCACAGACAATTATGTTCACTATGGATGAAGACATACTAGAAGCCATGGCTCAGTATGACCAGACGTATGAAGGAGACGAGGAAGACGAAGACGAATTACTAAGGAGCTGTTACTTTGAACGGCCGTCCACTGCTGATCAGGCAGAGGAAGGGGTTAGACATGCACTATTGATTAGATCTGTTGTCATGTAGTCCGATGTGTTGAGCTCCCCACGTCTGTCTGCGGACAAAAGAAACTCCCTCAGAAAGAAGCCTTATGTATGAACGATATAATTATTTTCACGTTTGTGGCTTCTTGATTATATGAAAAAAGCTGCGCTTACAATTAAAGAAATTGTTTAGGTGAAGAGATGTTGTATTTTTTAATCAGTCGCGATAAAATAATGATGTTCACCACCCCATTCCCCTGCATAAAAATTTATCGTTGGAATATAAGATATAAGTCCTCTACCTCACTTACTTTGCTTATGCACCTTGAACTGAAACGGCTGTTTATATTAATCTCTGTGTTTCTCTGTTTCTGAAAGACAAGTGGAGATCGACCGCTTACGTCGGCCAAACAGCATATAAAAGAAATCAGAACCCGCTTCAGAATTTATTTCTGGAGGTTAGTCGTCTCATAACTTTTTATACATTGTCTACAACTTTGGTTAATCCAAAACATGCTTCTTTGAAATGATTCCTCTTCTAATTTTCTGAATTAACAGAAGATATACCAGACAGTTCTGCTGACTTCCTAGAGGGTCGAGGTATGTTTTAAAGTATAGTTAAAATGCTAGGAGTCTGTTTTTCTCTAGTTATGGACACACACGGGACGAAACAGATCGACATGACAGGGTGTGTAAACCCAGCACTTTCCCCTTGAAACGTCAATTAAACGCAAAAATCACTTGGGTGTTATTTCTGTTTTTGTTTTATTAGTTCTTCAGTTCAATTTTGTCTCGACGTGGGAGATCCGTACTACATGGGACTCACTGGAATCGAACTTCTGGGACCTAATCAAGAATCCATTCCTCTTTCATACAGCATGTTGAAGGTAAGATACGATGCATTGTAAAGCAAGAGAAAGAACTGAAAGAGTGGAAGAATATAACGAGCTTCTTGGTACTTGAGTCATTGAAAAGACTGAGTGTTGGCGTCGGTTATATGAATGGATATAGCGAATTCGTCTGGAAAGGACTGAGCACTCATTCTTTTAATTTTGGTTACCCTCGCAACTTATAAACAAACAGTGGTAATTTGGTAAGGGGAACTAAGGTCGCGGTGGAAACGATCTTCCTTTAACATATAACTCAAATTGGCTACGCGAGAATCGATCAATACTTTGACAAATAGATATATTGTTTCTAGTCTAAAGTGGCTGTTAACGTATTGAAATGACAACTAATATTGAATTTGGCAGGAATAAGAGGACGCCTTTTTGACCAGTCGTCCTGAAGTCTGAAAAATTTTTTAATTTTAGTTTCTAATAAGAATAGGAAACTCGAGAAAATATTTATTTGGATGGGTCATTGGGTTGTCCTTTTTATGACCAAAACTTCCTTGCTGGATTGAGAACACCGGGATAACTTGATTCTTTTCTACAAAGAAGAACGCGAGAATTAGTTCCTATTGTACATAAGTCAAAGTGCTTGTGTCTAAAAATTGGTGTTCAAATAGTTTTTTTCCCAATTTATCTCACAAGGCGTCTCCAAGAGATCTAAATGACCTTCCTGAATATGAAGATGACGATAGAACTCTTGATAAGTAAGTACTCGGGTCCATTTGTTGACGCCTTTGAATACAAGCTGGTTTAGTGTCACCTTAGTGACTTGGTTATAAGCTTTACCTCTGCTTTTATTTAATTATTTTTACTGGATTGCTCCAGTATCACAACTTAAAACTCCGTGGATATACTTCTTGAGTACTAAATGGCATCCCGGTTCATATAAGTCTGGGAACGGAATTATCTTGGTTTTTTTTCAGTACCTTCGTCATGATTAAAGTTTTGATTGTTGCCCCAACAGATTGATAAATGGAACAAACGTGACAATGAGTGATGAACACATGTGGCTGATACCATTCACTGATGGACAAGATCATCTTCTGACAATCGACTTGGGACACACCACCCCTTTGGTGGGATTCAGAGTTTGGAACTACAACAAATCCACAGATGATTCCTTCAGAGGGGTATGTATTTCATTGACAAACAAATTCGATGAAATCTGTTAAGTGCACTCCAACTTCTGAAAAGCAAGTGGAGCAACCTTTGCACAAAGATATGCAGCTGGAACAGGAATACGGATGATAGGAGCCACGTGGAAAGTCAAGTGTCTCTCTATACCAAATTTTTTTTTAATCTCATGAAGTCTGTGATTGCTATTTTGTAACTTTATTGCACCGTTATTGTCCACAGGCCAAACAAGTTCACGTTAAGCTCGATGATAGGAATATTTCACCACCTGAGGGATTTCTCTTGAGAAAAGGTGAACCAATTTTCTAATATGGAACACATTTCCACAATATTTATGGCGCTCTTTCGTCGAAAATCTTTATATTTTAATTACATTTGTTTTGCAGGGCCGGGTAATATGCATTTCGATCATGGGCAGGATGTTTTCTTTATTAAAACGACAAGAGGATATGCAGCGCATGGTACTTCGACCAAGGACGTGGAACGCAGGTGCAGTTATAGTTTCTTTGCTACTCTAAAGGAATCTGCTTTTTTGACGGTGTGAAAGTAACGAGGCGTAATGCATTGTTAAGTGTCTATTTCCGACGTTTACTGTTCGCTGGTCAGTTGTTGTAGTTGTTTCAGATCGTGTGCAGTAAATAGTTGTTTTTCACCTTCGTCATTCCTACTGATTCAGTTGAAATGATGCCACTGTTTTCTCTAGCAAGGTTATCTAGTAAAAGGGTGTAATTAACCACTGACGCCAAAGCTTACCGACAGTGACCTCATACTCTTTCGAAAGATTGACTACTATTCGTCATATGCGCCGAAGGTTTAACCCAAACTGAAACTTATCGACGTCAAAGCTTCCGGCAGTGACCTCATGCTCTTTTGAAAGATCGATAACTATTCGTTATATGCACCGAAGTTTTAACCCAAACTAAAACTTATCGAAGCAAGATAAGCGGGATACACAGTCATTACTTGATATCGAAGCGTTGTTATTTACGTTCAATGTGTTTCCTATTTTGTGATCTTACTCTGATTTATTCTGTCTTTAGATCTGAAAGCAGGGTGAATTTGAAAAAGCTTATGCCAGACTATGAACCAACGTTAATTCCTTGTGGCTGTATCCTTCTAATACATAGACTGATGAAACAATAAGTAATTACAAACAATACATTGACAATTTTCTCCGTTAACTTAAGCAAACGTGTTTGTCAGTATAATGGCATTTTCTCTATATCATTAGCTTCAAACCAGGAGACTTTTTGTCAGTAACAGTTACCATTTAAAATTGTGTCTTCCTTTGTGCGGTTTTGTTTCAATCAGGCAGATTTGAGACAAATTTGCGCTCATCTTCCACAAAGTGAAACATCTTCGAAATGTCTCAATGCTCAACTGTTAGGTAAATTAATTATTTTTTACTTAAGTGCAGTTTTTACTGTTCAGTTTTCTGAAAGTGCAACAATGACGGAAACGTTTTAATATCATAAGCCACTTCGCTGCCCCTAGTAAGAATTGAGTGAACATGGACCTTTTTTCCGGTAAAATACAATTTTGTCTTAATATTAAGAGGACAAAATAGATTACTGCCTGTGAATTACTTTTCCTTCACTTGTTACCAGTCGTATTTCAGTTTCAACTGTTTTCCACCTGGGGAGATCCTTACTACGTCGGTCTTAACGGCCTTGAATTTTACGATGAAAATGGCTACAGACTACGCCTTACGGAAAACAACATAACCGCGCATCCTCACAGTGTGAACGTTTTACCAGGAGTGGTAGATGATATAAGAACTCCTGACAAGTTGATAGACGGTGTGAATGACACTTACGATGGACGGCACATGTGGTTGGCTCCCATCTTACCGGGATTGGTGAGGACCGTTTGTGTTAGTAGTTAAGTGAGAACTCCCGACGTAGATACATGCATGTGAACGTGACTTCATTGCGTGAAATCCCGTGTGGCAAAGTCGCGAACTGGCTTTATTTTTGCGTCCCATTATAAAGAACGTGGCACGAGTTTCTATTTACAGAGCGACCTGAAGCCAAATAAATGCAGTTGGGGAATGTTTTCGACAGCTTACAGCATGCATATTTTTTTGTTAAATGATTCCGAAACGATACTCAACAAGAAAAAAAAACTTGTTAGGAAAATACGATGCTCATCGTGATGATTCTCTGAGATCATGTGTATATACTCTACACTTAGCTTTTAAAAAGTTTTAGTTTTCTGATCGTCGTTTTCAGATCAATTTGATTTATGTGGTGTTCGATGAGCCCGTAACAGTTTCCACGGTAAAAGTTTGGAATTACAGCAAAACACCCATCCGAGGAGTTCAGCAGTTTGGGGTAAGACTTGTAATAACACTCTAAGAATATGAGTGTCATTCCAATTATGGTTTGAAAAAATTTCCTTTCCCTAGTCGTGGACAGTCCATGGACAGTTGCTCGCTGTTACCCATTACCAAGGAATGGAACTAACAGCAAAATGTATCGCTTAAGATGCATTTGTTCAGAAATTTTGACCGAGGAAGAATAATGACACAAATAACTTTGGTCATTTGTCCCAGCTTTGGCTTTTTCAGGGTTCCGAGGGTCGTTGGAGAGGCTGGGAAAGTCAAGAATTTCCGTTTTCTTACTTTAAGATCAGAAAATGTATGAATGAGATGTGGGTAATAGAAAGTCATGGACATGGACTAAAATGTTGGGAGGAGGGAACAAAATACTGGGTCGTGGAAGTCGTAAAAAATGTAACAGGTCAAGTTATAGAATTGTAGAAACTCCAAAGAATACGAATACCCCGTTTTTGTACACATTGTTTCAGTTTTGGGAAATACTATTCGCCTGGTCATACGCTGCTAGGAATCTTAAAATCCCTGTCATATGAGCTTGATCTGAATTTGACGTTGTTGTTTTGTTAGCTGTAGGTCGATGACTTTTTAGTGTATCATGGTATCTTACCACAAGTCCCGGCTGTAACCAAAGGAATTCTTGATCTGAATTTGTTGTTGTTGTTGTTTTGTTAGCTGCTAGTGGATGACTTGTTAGTGTATCATGGTATCCTACCACAAGTCCCGGCTGTAACCAAAGGAATTCTCCCCAACATAGACATGCCTACTCCACACCACACGATACTGTTCACTGATCACGAAGAGATCGCTCTTGCGGAACGCAAAAATGTTCTCAGGTGAGCCAGGTGAAACCTATTAGTGATCAGCGGTGTTCATGAAATAAACGCTACAGTTGGTATTATTCCCGTTGCAGAACTTGTTAGGATGATCAAAATATCATTGTCCTCGGTATCGTTTTAGGTGCTTGTTCCGACACTATAAGCACATAGAGCTGTACTTGTGTCTCTACTATCTCATTCCCAACAACAAAAACATCGATTAAGTACTGGGAAAATTTAATGGTGTATTTGTGAAGGAAATCAGTTAAACAAAAACGCCCAACGAAACAGCAAAAAATGCCAAATAAAGGTAAATATGGGCAATTTGAAGACCAAGGGCGCACGCTTTGTCGTAAGAAAACAAATTCAACGTAACTTTCATTTTCTTTCAGAGAACAAAAGCGTTTATTGTAGTTGCATTGGTGCCATGAAGTTATTCATGTGCGAAGTACTTGTCTCTGTCAAGCACTTTTATGTGCCAAATCTTGAAAAGTCTCGCGACCGTTTTTTTGTCTGGTTTTATTTTAGCAACAAAGGAGGTGGACAAGATATCCAGCTGACAAATGATAAAAGAATTGTGTCTCACTATAGTGATCCAAAGTCAGCCGGCAAAGTCGCTGATCCTGGTACGTAACAGAGACGTAGACTGAAATAAAAGGATGGTAAATTCAATGTGGGAAAACTTTCTTTCTAATTTAGAGCCAAGGTAATTCAGGTTAGCTCCAAAAGGGTTCTCCCACGGGTGTGGTCCTTTCATTAGTTATGTAAACTCTGTCCTCGAAAAAACCCTCTCTAGATCATCAGAGTTCTCTTGAGGTGCCTGATTTTGAATTGCGCTTGAATAAACTTTACCTGACTCTTTAGTATAGACATCTTCTCTAATGGTTCTAACAGAATTTAATTGCCTGTTTTGTAAAATTTAAATGTCTTGTACATCGGTACTGTTTCCTTTACATCTTCTTTTATATGCAGTAGCTGAGTGCTGTCTTGCTATATTTTCAGCTCTGCGACCTATGACAAGTGTTCCAGCTCTAAAGAAGAAAAGATAGACACTGCCACATGTTTCTATTCGTGACAACAGTAGCTTGAATTCGTGACAAACCTCCTGTCACGCTACCACAGGCCAAAAATACGCATGAAGTCGAGCATTAGATTTTCGACATCGCTTTTAAAAATGGAGTTAGCAAAGCGCGCCGAATTTCTGTTAAATCCCGCAGGATCCTCGCCTATGTCCATATAACACAGGGCGTATCTTTGAAAGACTTATGGTTGACCGTCACACTCTTCATCGTTGGGTATCCACAACAACTGTGTTTAATTGAGATCACTTGACAGACCTTTCACAGACATTATAGCTTGTAACAACTTCAAAGGAATTTTACCCGCGCAATTCCTGCCTGCACTAAAAGTGCCTTTTTCTCGAACGAACTTAGATTCACTTCCAGTCTTTGGATAAGAATCTCCCAGAAATAGATAGTTGAAATAAGTTATTTCTGAAATTAATATATACATACCTTATTTGCATAGCAGTGGTTGCTCTTAATAACTATCGTCGAGAAGATGAATTATCAAAGTGCCGTAACTTTTAAATGTACTTGTGAACGGAAATTGAATTCAGACAATTTAATTTAACGAAGGCACTCGGTAAGACCTCGTTAATGTCCAACTCTAGCCCTTTCGTGTGTTGGAGCAGTCGCTCAACTAAGTGGTGAGGGCGATTTGACGTCAAAGCAAGGATAAACAACAATAACTGCTCTTTCTCTTGCGTCTGTTTCTTTGTAAACTCCTCTCTAGCTCTTACCAAGCAATCTGAGAGCCGAAAAAGCTAAGGTTAAATCATAGTATATTTTCAAATATCCTATCCCTTTTTAACTCGTGAATTGCGCGCATGCGCAAGAGCGAGTTATAGATACGATGTGGGGAATGGCATTCGCTCGCTCGCTCGATTGGTCGATTCCTGTAAACTTTTTTTAGATTTTAGGCTTTTGAGTGCATTTGATAGTTTTTGGCGAGCAATAAACAGACGAAATGGCGACCTTTGTTGCTAAGAATAGTGGTGGGGTGAAAAAGAAGCCAATGATAATCCTAAAAGAGTCTTTTTTTTTCGTTTAGTTTCAACAAGCGGCGCCAGCGACTGGCAGGCATGCAAGGATTCACACTGAAATAACAGAACAACCTTCGTTTTTCATAAAATTGTAATTTACAATCCTTGAACTTGAAAACAATCCGAAGATTCATTGAAAATATCACTTACTGCGAAGCGCTCGGAGTTTACAGGTGTTCAAAAGCTTTTTCTGTTATGGCGTGAGATTGAGGACAAAATTGATCATTACGTTTCGTCGCGTGTGTTTTTCCTGTGTGAAGCAACTAAAGATGCCGGCGACTGACGAAATAACAAATTAACACGAAAATCAAATAACACCTAAACAAACAATTTTAGCTACCGATTTTCAGTGAATTTTTAAAGAACAATTTTCTTTTAAGTTTCAAAACAATTTGAAGATTCAACATACATACAACGTACTAAAATGCGAAAGTTACACACCACAAAATTGATAAATAGGCCTGAAATGAAATTCTATCTTGTTATTGATTATACGTTGCCGAGCACGTGACTTAAATCTACCCAGGCGGAGATCCAAAATGACGGTGGCAGGCTTGGCTTAGTTATATCACTCAAAACTCGTTCCCGTTTGTCTCATTTGATAAAGAGGGAATCGTTAATGTTTTCATTAAGACAGTATTGCCTTGATTTTCTAATATTTACAACGAAAGACAGTAAATTTCACTTTTCACCCACATTTACTTCCAACCTTTTCTTTTGAACCAGAAACAAAAATGATAGACGTTTAAAACACATGACATCATCCACCTTGTCAAATGTAATAGCATGATCCTTTCAATTGTAATGCCTTCTTATCCCAACGTTACTTTGTTTCTTTGCTACATTAGCGAACACTGAACTACTGCTCGTACTCTAGATATGACAATCAACCACAAAATTCACTAAACCAGATAACATTAAACATAATCTAAAAAAAATGTGTCAATTCACGAGTTTGCTCACAGAGCACTTTGATCTTCCCTTGCCCCTGAGACATGACTCTTTGCCATAGGGTCAGGGTTAGGGTTAAGTAGTTCATTCCCACTTGCTTTTTCCTTTTTGAACTACCTGTGAACACATGATGGCAGTTCTAACCTTACTTTCTTATTAATAACGGCGAATAAATGAAAACTGCTGTGAGACGATACCCCATTCATTGTTTTCCCAAAATAGCCTACCAGAGGTCAATGAAGCTTCATTTCGAGACAATTGCGAACATATTTACAGTTAAGGATTCACCAAGAATCTTGTGTGAATTGAGAGCAGAGAGACACTCCAGAAGACTAGTCCTGAATTAGTTTTAAAAAAATTCGAATTTAGGGGAGATCAAAGGAATGGATGATTTTTATTTAGTTGAGTTATCATATTAAGATCTTCCACTGAATACTTGAATTCCTTAGACCATCCGCGCTACATCTTCATTTCTAAACTCTATTTTCCCTTAATTTATTTAGCATCTACATACATCAGAAACAATATAAACTATTTCAATTCATTTCTCAGATTACAATACAGTACAATCAAGGTAGCATGGTACACTACACATTATCATCACTTGCGTTCTAGGAAATTGAACTATGAGAGTAAGTTAAAATTCTGTAAAACATCAAAATGAAATTACACTTCCACTGCTGTTACTCTAGTTACTTTCCTACTACTTGCAAGAGCTAGTAACCAATCAGATTCTGCGAAATACCAAGATCAATGAGTTAGTAAAAACTAAACTGATCAAGAGCCATACTTGTAGAAATGCAACAGCAAATGTAACAACCCATGTGAATGGATTCAAACGCATTTTCTTCAAATTATTAGGGCTGGACGTACAACCCAAAAGCCAAAGACTGATGAGCTCAAATAGAAAATGGCTACCGGGTAATAGAAAACGCTGATTAACTTAATGGCCAGGATAACAGCCGGTCAAATTCTCTAGGTACAACTCTTATAAGAAAAACTTAGTGAAGAAGATTCGAAAACTCCATTTTTATTACTAACGTGAATCCTTTTTTCCATAAAAAAGGGTTCGCTTATTATAACTTCCGGTTTCTTTTGTATTACTTTTTGAAAAATAGCCTTAAATTTGGATACTTTCCATTATCATTACCTATGGTACTATGCGCTATCTCAAGCTATTCTATGTGCTGTGACTCTTCCTTAACCTGGGAATCCAATCGTTCTGTTTGCTGTGACTGTTCCTTACTAGGATCACCAATCTTTCTCTTTGCTGTGACTCTTCCTTGACTTGAACCACCAAGTCAAGTGTCGATGTGACTCTTCCTTGGGTCAGGCTCCCGATCTTTCCTGGGCCACCCATCGTTCTCTTCTCTGTGACTCTCCCTTGAGTTGGGATCCCCGTCGTTCTCTTCTCTGTGACTCTCCCTTGAGTTGGGCCCCCACTCTTTCTCTTGGTTGTGACTTTTCCTTGGCTTGGGCCACCCATCGTTCTCTTCTCTATGACTCTCCCTTGAGTTGGGCCCCCAATCTTTCTCTTGGTTGTGACTCTTCCCTGGCTTGGGCCACCAATCTTTCTCTTCGTTGTGACTCTCCCTTGACATGGGCCGCCCATCGTTCTCTTCGCCGTGACTTTCCCTTAAGTTAGGCCCCCAATCGTTCTCTTGACTCTGACTGTTCCTTAACTTGGGCCTCCAATCGTTCTGTTTGCTGTGACTGTTCCTAAACGTGGGGCTCCAATTGTTTTCTTTGCTGTGACTCTTATTCAACTTGGGCCTCCAATCGTTCTCTTTGCTGTGACTTTTCTTTACGTGGGCCTCCAATCGTTCTGTTTGCTGTGACTGTTCTTTAACTTGGGCCACCAATCTATCTGTTTGCTGTGACTGTTCCTTGGCTTGGGCCTCCAATCGTTCTGTTTGCTGTGACTGTTCCTTAAGTTGGGCCTCTAATCGTTCTATTTGCTGTACCTGTTCCCTAACTTGAGCCTCCAATCGTTCTCTTCGCTGTGACTCTTCCTTTACTTGGGCCACCAATCGTTCTGTTTGCTGTGACTGTTCCTTGACAAGGCTGACCAGAACATTAACCTGCAACCGATTGGCGTTGAGGCAATGGAGGGCTAGACTTAAGTGACGTTCAACTTGGGACCTTGTATGAGAACTGGTGTTTGATCGTGGAAACTAGAAAGATCAAGGTGAATTAAGCTCTTTTTTAAATCGAAGTAAATCTCAAATTCGTGCATTGAGGTGCATTAGTAGGCGTCTAAACCTAACCGTTTGCGCAGTGCTTAACCTACAGCACTAACTCTTTTCAACGATTAACTCTGGAAAGCTGGTTTACTAACTTAGAACAGCTCCGCTCAACGGGTGTCAACTACTAACGGCACCACGCAAACGATTTATTCGCCGACTTATTCGCTACATTAACATGACAAACGTTCCGAACAGAACTACCTAATTTTACCGATGGTTCAAAACCGACCAATTATGAGCGACCTACGCCACTTAAGTCTAAGAGACAATAACATCACGGCTAAACTGACCAATCAGTTTACGGCGAAGCATACCTAGTACATTCGACCGAAAGCAATTTCTCATTTCACTCTGATGATGACTTTGGCTCAGGTTATCTAAACCTCAGTCATTAATACCATCAACAGTCTTTCTCAGGACTACATTCACCCGCACGATGAGACTACACTATCAGAAGAGATGATTGGTCCTCTTGAAGTTTAATATTTTACACATGTTACCCCCGAGTTCAAACCATTTACTATATTGCTATGTAACTTGACTCTTTTGAACCATGGTAAGCAACCATAACCTGTGACACCTTTGATCGACAACGGTATCTAATTTTACGTCTTGTAAGCTTTTGCAAGATAACCTTTCTTATCACAGGCTTACTGCTCGTATTTTTCTTCGCCCTGTAAATATACTACGCATGGTATGGTATGGTTTACACTGAGAGAAAATAATTTTTAGGCAAGTCCATACCATA